AAAGCACAACGATTTCATGAAAAAGCTTTTGCTGAGAACATTTTAATTGCCTGAATCTGGCCTTGAGACAGTGCATACATGCTGGTTCTATATTGGCCTCTTCATACTTGATTTCTGAGCGAGCCACCATTTATTGACATCAATAGATCGTATATGAATACAAAGTAGGCTGGACAGCATTACCTAACAGTATGACTAACATTGTTATCGTCATGCCAAAGATTCGATGCATTTATCAACGGCCATTCCCGGGAATGACCACGGGTAACCCTCAGGCATTTGCAGAAGTACGTTTAGAAATCCCCTCTACCCAAAAACAATATTTCTCTACAAAAGCTATGATTAATTGTCCCTCACCCCGTCCCCGAGGGATACATTAAAAAACCCTATTTTTTGAGCAACCGTTGTTTCAGATGATCTCTGAGCCCAACGTGCGGTATTCAACTTCAGTTTTTTCCAATTTCTATGAAAATACTTCTCATGGGGTGTTTAAAGTAAGGGTTAATAAAATATATGAAAATATCATAAACGGCTGTCCGGTCTGTCAGCTATAAGAGGTAAAATTCAACGTAATCTGTAAGTCATACAACCAGGATTCAATAAATAGTTTCCCTGCTATCCTTTTAATTTGCCAACTGCCCACATGATTATAGCATATTAATAGTGAATTCAACTTGACAAAAGTCTTGCGATATCATATCCTGTTAAAAGAGTGCAAAGGCGATCAAAAACCCCTACCCCGGGCTAAAAATTGGCCACAAAAGTCAACAAATCCCCCAACTTCCTAGCCTCCCACGCAGGTGTTTTTAGGGGAGCTCCACAATTGTGGGAGGGACGAAACACGAGCTCCCCTAAAAACGCCTGCGTGGGAGGCTACCAGCTTCCCTCCTGGCCCGTTTATGTCACCGTGGTCAACCCACCCCCTCCCACAGGCTAGGGTGGTCGCTGTTGCTCGTCAGAAAACAAGTGACCGAAAGGCAGGCAATAAGACCATGCTGTAGGGAAGGTAATCCCCACTGTTATAACCGACCGGAACTGCTTTTAACAATAAGAAAGTCTAAACTTAAATTTAACACTAATTTTAATTTCTAAAAATTTAAACCATTTAAAAATGGTTTTAAATTAGTGAGAAAGAGATTTAAATAGCCTTGACGAATCCATGTTCTTTATTGCACCTTTGTTCTCGCATCAATATTAATTAACTAACTGCAGATATAACCCGTGGTATGCCTTTAATTCTAAATTTGCCTTGTAAAATTAGTTCAAGTTTTTTTTGTATTATTATTCTTTTGCAAATAAACCAATGCAGATAGTTAACTCACTTTGCTACTCCCTAATTTATGACTTTAAGATAACTGAGTTGTAAGTTGAAATGAATTTTAAAAATCACTTATGTTGAAATTTGTTCCCAAAGTCACATGAAGAGAGCGAACACATGGAAGCAGACTTGACCCTGGTTATCACCCTCGGAGTGGTTTTTCAAGTCGTCTCCGTACCAAAACCGCAATTTTTCGTCTTTTGGCAGGTACAACGGCTGACCAAAGTTCGCGAAGACCAGCTCGTCAGAATATCTGAGGAGAAAGAGCTCAGATAAATACACTGCGCCTTTCAATCTCTCTAACAATGCCCAGCGTAGTAAAGTTTTGGGAATGGCCAGAACTGTCTCATAACTTTTTGTATGACTACTGGATGAAGTCATTTCCAGACTTCCTCGGGAATTGACTATACCTAACTAACCTAACCCAGCCAAAGCCCTGAAGAACCAAAAGCGAGCGGTTTTGTATGAAATGGTTAATCTTAATCGAACACAACCTAAGAAACACACTGAAGCCCGTGACTCAGGGCATGGCACATTATTCTTTCATTGCATTGGTCCGTTTTTATTGCCAGGCTGGCTAACATAGGACCGTGCTTGAGGAGGCTGTAAACTGTCTTTTTTACTACCTGTTCGTCACTCACTGGCTTGACTTGCTTTGCCGCTCGCACTAATAAGATATGACTGTGGGTGATTAGCTGTTGACTCACGGCATCGAACTGTTACTGTAAAAGGCTCTGAAGGCTGACCTTTGGCTGAACTAGGAAGGTGACTACGTCCTTAGATTCACAAGGGAACCCAGCGAATATGAAGTTATATATCTCAACTTTTAAAAAAATATATTGAACAGCAACGGGATCAGTTAAGCCGTCCAATAGAATCGTGTCAGACTTACACTTCGTTAACGAAAGGTATAGAGTACCACAGTCCTGATCCAGCACTATTTTTGATGATTTCCGGAAGTGGAAAGATAACATGATTGGTTTCATCGGTGATGATAATGTTCAGCGGCTGAGCTCGACCGCTACAACCCCATCTGCTGTTATGAGCCTCGTTGCTGACGCACCTAAGTCAATAAAAACAATCACTATATTTATTCAAAATATTTCGCCGTTGTCTTTGATTCCATTCCCGGGTTAATTCTGCGTATTATACCAAATGGTGCATACCATATTTGGAAGATGCAAGCAACATACCATTGTTCTGACGGTATATTTGCTTGGAAACGAGGTTGATTGATGGTATATTTTTCAGTGGAATTAACGAGGTTGCGCAACGCAAGAATATGCAAAACATATTCATGACATGTAAAATGAAACAAAACTGAATACCAGGATGGCACTACGGCAAAGGGCTGATTTATTATTCTCTATTTTCGAATTCCCCATAATATACTCTGCTTGCCCCCCCAATTCTGCATAAACCATTGTTTTTAAATGCTCCTGGGAGTATTGCATTTTCCCAAGAGCATTTTAAGACAATAAGTTATGCAAAATTTGGGGGGCAGACAGAGTGTATTATGGGGAATTCGAAAATAGTCAATAGGCCAATATTTCGGCGAACAAAATTAGCCTTAATCAGCCCTCTGCGTACTGAGTGCCAGCCTTGCATTCAGTTTTGTTTCATTTTACACATCAAGTGACGTCTGGCTACAACATGTCTTTAATTAGAGATCCGGCGACAGGAACCAGTCAGTTGTATTTACGTGTTGCGTGGACCTCTGCGTTCAAACAGTTTTTCATATTCATAATATGTTATCTGTAAGAAAAAACATCCGTTTATATCCTGAAACCGTGCTGAATAGACCAAAGTTTTGAAGAAAGTCTACGAAGAGGTAATTTTATTAAGAAGTTAAGAGTATTTTTAATAAACAATGATCTGCATAATTCTTCACATCGCATCATACGAAGGCGAATTCAATAATTGTAACTTAAGCATTAAGTCTAATAACGGTGCCCGTTTCTTTCTTTTGAGCATCGACATATAGCGACTGAGCTGGGACTTGCGCTCTAGCCACCATTTATTGAAAAACCATGCTCTAGTCACATGTCTGACTTTGCTCACCTCACTGAATACTTCACAAGCGGTTTGAAGTGAGATCAGGGGCCTAAAGCGACGACCGGAAATACGTCTGCTGTTCGCAGGCTCAGCGGGGCCAGTTCAGGGCTCGAAAGTCCCAAAAACGTACCAGGGGCCCGTTTCTCGAAAGTCCCGATAATTAACGGGCCCGGTAAGCTGTCTCCGTTTACATTAAAGATCGAGGTTTCAATAGTTTTGCATCTAACACGATAAAACGGTCAGTTAATGAAACTAAATGGAGTAGTTTGCTAGCCAGGACCCGCGCTCTTATTCTTTATATTTCGATTTGAATTTTTGATTTCGGGCCCGTAAAGTTACCGGGACTTTCGAGAAACGGGCCCCAGGCCCCGAAAGCTGTTTTGTTTACATCGAATCGAGGTTGAATAAAGATTTCAATGTTTTCGCAGATATCATCATTAAACTATGTTAGCTAGGACCCACTCTCCCAAGGCCCCTAATATGTCAATGAAAAAATATTTCAGAACCGAAGTGAGTACGGTGTGCGAGGTTACTGAGCCGGCAATTATCACAGCAGCCTAAGCTCAGCATGAGGGTTTAATCATAATACGTGTAGTATCAATGCATAATCCCCAAATTGGCTTGAACATAAAGGATTCGTAATTCTTTGTTTCACTGTCACGCAATGAAAAAATAACTTTGAAACCGTTGAACGAAAGAGGCCAAGAAAATGAAATGTTACAGAAGCCTCATAAATATACAACCTAGCCAAGTCTCAGGTCTGTGCGGAGCGAAACGTTTCACGCAAGTTTATAGAGTTGTATGGGGACGCCATGTAACATGGGACTGACCAATATGTTGACCAGAAATCAACAAAGACATCAGGCTTTCACTTTTGCGATAAAAATTATTTCTTTTTGCTTGTAAGCAAATTAGTATTCGCAAAAACACGTTATGTACCGCTTAAAAGTATAAACTGCTGAAAATCAACTTTTCTTCAACCAGACATCTCTGCCGAGGCTACCATTGTGGTGCCACGCACTGTGAAAATTTGGAAATTCAAAATGCTGTATTTTCCAAATGGAACACGCTTTTCAACCTGGTATTCAAAAAGAATTCCTCGCTATTTTGATTTTAGAATTTGATGACTTCATGGTGAAAGCACTCTCTTGTCTCCTACGCATTAGATTGCGAGCAGTCTCCTATTTTTCTTTGCAAAGTTACTGCACGCGAAAAACAAGTACGCGACCGGCGAAGCCGCGAACCGCGATAAACGAGGGTGTCGTCTGGTCCCAATCCCTCATTGTAACATAACGTCGTGGTTTGCAATCGCGCTGGCTTAGATAAGAACTGCCGTCTAGTTTTTGTCCCTTAAAAGAAAAAAGGAGGACTGCAAACAGTCTGCCTAGACGCATATTCTACTTGCTTGCACATTATTCACTTTTTTGGTAAATGTCTAGACTGCAAAACCCCCAAGGACGCCCTTCTGAACTCACTTTTCACTGAAGCGCCACGTACATTGTTTGGTCTCAATTTCAGTGCGAGTAACCAGTCACATCGCGTTGCGTGACGAGCCTAAAAACGGCTGCAAAGGAGATTACCAGTCACAGAATACTTCACCCTCGGTTGAAGCACAATCTATCATTCTATGAAGATGCCGAGACAAATCTCTGCTGCTTTTCTATTCACTTTGCTTGCTAATATAGTTGTAAGGGTGGATTCCTCCAACTACGCTAGCTTTGAATCCGGTGATGGCAATTTTCGATTGCAATGGACATACAACAGCAACACGTTGTTTTTCAACATGACATGTAAAACTACAGGCTGGTGTGCAGTGGGTTTTACTACTTCCGCTGATGGGAAACGCATGAAGAATTACGATATCGCTCTTGGTGGAGTCACCTCTAATCATTCCCAATATATTTTTGTAAGTATGGTAGAAATTTAATTTAATTTAAGATTGGGTTGATTGGGTCGGGTCGGGTCGGGTAGCCTTTGGCTATATTTTAAGAAAGATAGGGTTAGGGTTATTGAGGAAGGTTATTGGAAGGCCGTTGTTTGTGGATCCTCTGAGGTTTTCCATTTTGTTATCGTCAACCAAAACTGGGACGGTAGTAGACGTACTTCATAAACTCGCTATATAATCTTTTCCTTATGGCTCGCCCATCGATCTACAAAGTTACTACTTTTGATTTCAGCTGTATAAATTAGAAAGGTTTCGTGGAGGTGTGTTGATTGCTTTATGGCGACTTTGCAGCTTCGCCGTGCCAGCAACGTTGGCATTTTCAGTGATTGATAGTTTGAAGAGCCGGAGCATAAGTTGCAACCCCGCCACATTTAACTTTATCCCGAAGCGTAACTTTGACTGATCTTAACTCGTTTCAGTTGCGAATTTGCTCTGTTTAAGTTGAAAGTGTTTCTTGCTGTTTTCCGAGGGAGAGTGATCAAGACTCTTGCATGTAAACTCGAGGTTTTTCCCTGAATAGAATTGGACAGGTCGGTAAATCAACAGTTCTGTTATGCAAACGACCAGCCTGCAAACACATAGGTATTTCCGGTCGTCGCTTCTCTCAGAAATACGCCTGGCTACCAAACGACGAAACGGCGAGGCATGTGAAAGCCGGGAGGGGGCGTTCGAAACGGCTGAGCCAAATCTGATCGACGGAACTATTCGAAAACTGGAAAAATTACGCAACAAGAAGTCAAATAAACAGCATATTTACCATAGCTTGCAAAACAGACCTTTTCTTTCGTGTTTTTTAGGAAAGCGAAGGCAAGCGCGAAGCGAGCGTGGAGCGCGAGACGCTCGCGATCGAGGAGGCGGCGAGATCGTCTTTCTCCGCAACATATGTTCCACCAAAGGTAGCCCAGGCTTGAAATAATAGCATCGGCGAACATCGACATTGCTGCATAACATTCGAAATATCAGGATTTGTATGGAAAAAAAACCTATCGTTTCCGTAACCGACGAAAATGAAAGGATTTCAATAATAAACAGCTTACCTTACATAACATGTGTGTTACGTTTCTCCTGTGTGGTCCATGGGCCGATTTATGGTCGTTTAATGGGTTGTACTGTTAACGGTTTTCTCTCTATATAAAGGTTTACCAAGCTTGGTAAACATTTATATAGAGAGAAAACCGTTTACAGTGCAACCTCGTCCCCAGGGCGTTTTTCCCTGGCTTTGGAGGTGGGGGTTGTTGACGGTACAACCCATAAATCGGCCCATGTACCACACAGGAGAGACGTAACACACATTTTATGTAAGGTAAGATGGTTTTTATTGAAATACTTTCATTTTCGTAAGTTACGGAAACGATAGGTTTTTTCCCATAAAAATCCTTATATTTCGAAATCAATGTTGCGCAACAATGCCGATGTTCGCCAATGTTCATAATTCGAGGTTGGCTACCTGTGGTTCCACACTTATTAAATCGGAATGTTTTTCTTAATCAATTATTTTTTTGTTTATTAATTTTTCATTTGTTTGTTTGTTTTTTATTTTCGTTTTTTTTTTCATTCAAAACTTTACATTTTAAGAGTAAGATGACGGAGAGAGAGTCTTTGCCAAAACGACTAGCAGAAAAACAACTTAACCTTTCAGCTGACAAAATTTCTTTTATATCTGCTGTTTCGTAACAACAAATATGCTAGTTCGTAACAAAGCAGCCAGTCTACGTCATTTTATTGCACCTACTATAATCATTATGAAATATCCTCTCAATCATTTATTAATTTTCACCTCGATGATTTGCGATTTTAAGAGCACTCCGCATAAGAAACTACGCGAACCAAAGTAGTTGCAAGACGACTTTTTTGGTTAAAATTATTTGCTCACCACGTCTGCAAGCTACACCAGGCAAAATATCAGTCAGAACTACAAAGTACCAATGTTGCGGCGAAAGCTGGCGAGGTCCCCCCCCACCCCCCAAATAAAAAATAAATACGGTACAGTTAAACCCCGTTAATACGGTCACCAATGTGCCAAAAAAGTGGCCGTATAAATAACGAGGTGAACGTATTACCAAGGTGGCCGTAAGGCGGAGTTTCACTGTATAACACGCAGTTTGGCTGAAAAAGCTCTTAGTAATGGTAACAGGACTGAGTGGAGTCCAATTCGGTCTGTAATCATACGAGTGATTAACAAAATCGGACGACCGCATAGCGGGAGTCCGATTTGTTTAATCACGAGTATGATTACAGACCGAATTGGACGACACGAAGTTCTGTTACCAATTAATCATAACTTTAACAAAATTCGTGATATATAGGGCTCTTTTTAAATCAAAACACTAGAAATTCCAAGATTTTTTCGCTAGCAAGGAAAAAAAAGCCATTTAAGCGCGCGCGTGATGGCGCGTACTGTCCTATTAAACTGTCCTATTAAGGCTGAAATCAGGGCAGTTGAGAATCAATCAGATTTGAGGATTTTATTATAGTTATGATTAATAAAGGAACGATCATTAATCTTTTTAACGAGGAGTGTTTTCGCTGGGTGATTTACATGATTTAGTTTGAGGAGAAATTTTTTTTTAAGCCTATGATCTGTTATTATTTTTTGGTTAAAATAATATGCAAGATTTCCGAGATATATATTTTTTTCTTGCTGAAAACAGCCCAATCCGCGCAACTCATAAGATTTATAAGAGGGTCCCAATGGTCTTAACCGTACGTTTGCCAAAAAAATCCAATAATTTATTCAGCGAACTGTTAAGTCTTGCGAGGACCATTTGCACACACAGCAGCGAAAAATAAACAAATCTTTAAATTTAGGGCACTTCTTACAGCCAGTGATTTTACTAGTTGGTCTACATTTTGAAGATATACCTACTGAATATCCTTTGTTAGGGGCGGGAGATGGATGGGACAACACTTATTCGAAGGGGGCACTTAGTAAGTAATCTTTTTAGCCTTAAGGGAGGCATAAATTCCGACCGGATTAATGTTAAATCTTGTTCCCTAAAACCTTCAGCAGATACAAAATTAAACGTAGAACTGGAGGCCACGATAAAAGACCAACAAATACTGAAACAGATAGGAAGGTATTAAAAGTGCGATGCTTTATTTTCAAACTGTAACCGACAGGGGTATCAGAGTGTTTCCACTGTAACGCCCAACAAAGATCCAACTCCAGATTACAAGCTCACAGCCGCCAGTGAGGAAAACGGATATACAAGAGTGGAGTTTAACAGAGTTGCTACAACTGATGAAGAAGATGATCCGCATGATGTACAGTTTACGGTAAAAATTAGTCTTGTTATGATGTTCAAAGAAGTGACGTAGCGGTTTCTATATGATACAAAATTTATTAATTTAATTTTATCCAATTTTATATATTGTTTCTAATCCATTTTAAGCTCATCCACCCTTAACTACCCTTAATCCTTTGTATAATTCTCTATTGCCTCTTCGCTTTCTTTCTATTTTTATGACCACACTGTCATTTCCATGTTCCTAATTCAACTTTAAGTTAATTTTGGAAATTGTAAAATAATAGTGCTGCGTCACTCTCGTTTTCACTGGCTTCTCCTTAGAAATTTCTACTGGAAGCGATGAGCGTTACGTATGTTCAGATTCAAGAAAATGGGTGGACACAAAAAGTCTCAATAAAAACGTCTTACAAGATTTTCATGGGAAAATGTTGGGTTACTTTTCTCCTGTGTGTTTTTTTTCCTGATCTAATCCTATAAGCGATTTCTTTATGAGTGTAAAAGGGGAAAACAAATCCCTTGCAAATCCTATATATTTGCAACATTTTTGACATTATGATCAAATGACTTACGGTACACAGGTAACTGATTCTCACTCTGAGCTTGGAGTGCCTGTGTTTTTTTAAGATAGGTGTCCAGATGTGGGAGGATGAAAATGGCAATAGTTAAGTGGTGAAATTGCCCGGACCGACTAGCTTGATCGATGTCCCTTTAAGAAGGTTTCCTTTAGCAAAAACTCGCCGAGTGTACCATAATTTAGAGCACATTTACCTCTGTTCCACCTTTACTGCTTTATGGAGCTACGTAACGACAAATATCGCTGTTTTAGGCCAATTGTGTGCTTAATTTATTACTCAGTGCCCTTAAACCACGCGCAAAATAATTAAGTTATGAAGAAGATATCAAACAAGCCTCATCGGGGATATGGCACAATTGTTTCAAGTTTCAATACATGTCCATCCTTGTGATCCGCAGAAACAGACAACAGAAAACAGTTTCAACAGCTAAATAATTATAGCAAAACCGGACCATTAATTTTACTTTAATTTGGAATTCAAGTGATGCGAAGACACGTTCAAGCTTTCTGAAGATATAGTAAATAGCGTGACAAGACCCTTAAATTACTTATTATTAAACTTGCAGAAAAGTGCTGAGGTTTGGATTGTGTGGGCATGGCGAAATGACGACGACGCGAGTTCAGGTCTTACCCCTGCTTTGGTACACAGCCAAAATGGGGTATCATCTAAAAAATACAACCTGATAATGGAGACTATGTCCAACGTGCCAACATCTACTCCCTATAATGGAGCAAGTAAAGTGACGCTGCAGAGTTTGACCTTTGTCGGTACCTTGTTTGTTTTGATCACTTTTGTAACTTCTTTTTAACAGCTTTGTTGGCGGCTGTCTGTATTGCAACTTTAATTGTTTTTAATTTTAACCGATAAGCTGATGTAGGATGACAAGATTTACACCAAAATAATAGGTCAAAATAAACACGCAATAAATGTATAAAATCATTTTCTGTTTTGTCTTAAATTCAGTAGTATCTAATCATCCACCTGTTATAACTTGTCACATGTTTTTCAGTGTATGTGAATGACACATTTTCTTGGAACGACACCAAGTTCATTTTACTTTCTCTGTCGTCCTCAGTTATAATAAGAATGTTCTAGCCCGGTAGAGTCACAGATTGCGGAATTGAAACCGGCAACTGGGACTGAGGGCGAGAAAAAAGAGCGTTGGTAGATTTGAGATTCATTTTTGAATAACTTTTTCCTCCTCCAGCCCCCCCAGAAACCCTCCCTAGCTTGTTTGCTTTCACTGCTGACGTAGGTTATACATTGGTTGTTTAGTTACTACTTCTTTCCTCTCACCTTATTTCTCCTGACACATACTGGAGTTTCAAACCTCCGAGCAGTTTACTCTCACCATAGTATTGCAAAAAACCGTACCCGTTATCTCTAGCTTTCACACACACTGGAAGGTGGCTGATCTTCGTCCAAACTCCAGCTGAAGGATCTGAGGTCACGAGATACATGCAACGTGGTCATTTCAATTCTTTGATTCATTAATTGTGTTAATTATTTGTTTTTAAAGGAATATTGCCCAGTTCATTCGGTTTCTGTAAACATCATCGCTTATTTTCATACTGAAATTTTTTCCTTGAAGGTGAAGTAGCTATGGCGAATGCAAGTCTCCGTAGATTTCCCAAGGAGAAAAAATTCACACGAAAAAGGCAGTTCCACGTTATTCGTACTAAGACTTAAAGTGTGACCTTAAGCGGAAGAAGGCGTTTCCAGATAATATAGTATAAAGTAAAATAGTCTGAGAACTGAATTGCCAGCTTGCAGACGTCTCCTAAAAAAAACATATCTGGTTAAGATTGTAAAGAACATCATTCTCATACAACGTGCTGGGCTTGCTTGATACGTGCCTTATAGTTTGATTGTCGTCAAACAAGCAGAAAATTTCCCGGTAACGTAAAGATTATTTTCACTATTCCATACATCCTTGGTCACGTTTCCAGAGTGGAACTTCCACTTAGAAATAAAACGCAATGCCTCAAAATAAACGTGACGCTCGCTTGTTTGCAAGCAAACCTGATTTCAAGACAGACATGTGGTAGCCACATCACCGACTACCTCGATATAAACAGCCTCCTTACAGTATATCTTAAAGAAGCTCTCAGAAGATAGTACATGAACTACCCCCATAGATCAATCTGAGATGTTTGATGGTAGCTTACGTACGAGAAGTGAAGTTGAAATTATAGTGTCTTTTTCTCTGAGAGAACTGAATTTGTTTTTTTTTTGGTACGTGATCTCTTGTGGGAGGTGGTTGTCCATCTTGGATGTTCGACTTGTATCATGGGAGTTGGGTTTGCCTTCTATTCAGTTGTGTAACTTTTACGGCGAAAAATCCTGCTGCTTAAAGCTAGATACATCTTAGTGGTTGACAGGTTTACGGAATCTTAGCTGATGCGAGCATGGTTTTTCATCTATGTATCCAATAAACGAACATTACCATAACAGCCCAGATTTACTGAATACTTCCCGGTTTTGTCTTTTTGAAGACGTTAAAAATCATTTTAGTCAAGTCTTATAGTCTTAAAATAATTTATGAAAGTCAGGCTACAATCTACCTTGTCCTTCAACCATGGGAAGACCAATGAAAGCCAGCAAAATTATGTAAAAAATCATTCTGTGAAAAGCTAAGCGGTCGATGAAGTGTGAAGTCAGAACGGAGTGACCCTTACTCTGCTTCTTCGGATGTAACCAACTTCTGGACAAGTTATTAGAAAGATTAACCAACGTCACGACATCAAGCTTTGGTGTGTCAAAATCTTTTCTTTCTTATCAAAAAATAAAACAATAGCTAGAATGTGTATACTGTGAAACAAAAACATTAATCTACAACCTATTGATTTTCAAATTAACGCGTCATCAAACACATTTTTACAATTTCCACATTTGTGTTACCATGGATTTTTTTTTTTGGAAATGGTTTTCAAATTGTCCCCAAAATTGTTCATAATAAAGAAAAAAAAGACAAAAAAACCTTCCGTGAGCTGTGCATTTATTGCACGGAGCCACCACAGGGTGCCGGGAAAACTGGCTTTCACTGTCTAGCGGTATTATTCTCATCTTTGTTACGTTAATTACTAATTATTGGATTCGGCTTTTGCATGATATGAAGAATTATGCAGATCTGCATAATTCTTTACATTATACGAACCAATAACACATTCTAATCTCTTCCCGTCTTCAAAACATTAATTTGTCTCAGTGTTCCCCTCAAAACAGCTGTATCAGCGACCACTCTACGGTTGCCCCTTTTTCTGTCAACAATTGACGTCAAAGTCCCAAATTTGGAGTACGATTGCTGGTTTAGCCGGGAGATTTAAGCCAAGCGGAAAACAGAGAAAAGATTTGAATGGATAACAATAACAATTATTCGTTCTAGGTTTTGATGTGTTCTCTGATACGCGTTCACAATTAACCAGAAATTGCTGAGGAGTAGGAAAATGACATGAGGAAGGGAAGTTTACACGTGCAGGCCGAGGTTCACATGTCTTGTTGAAATTGAAAATATTTTAAATGAATAATAAAGCACTAAATGAATGTGCTCTTGGTGACAAAAATGAAACCGGTCGGTTTCAGGAAATGAGGAAGGAGCGTGGCCGTGCGCTTAGAGCGTTGGAATTTGAATCCAGAGACCCCGAAAGTTCATGCAGTCAAGTTCCGCGCTGACCAGCTGGCTGGATTTGTTAGCGGTAGTTGCGAGTTTCACTCCTCTGTCACTCATACCCGTTGTAAATAGCCAAATGGTTTGCCTCCGGCTAGTTGGGATTCTTGACTTTGTTACATTTGCTGTGAAATATTTGTTTCTGTCCTTCTTTGTGGGCCAATCTCGTTCCCAGAGGCCGCGATCCTTTTGGTCAGGTTGACAAAGCAACGCGGACTCTGGGAACGAGATTGTGTGGGCCACAATGAAAACTACTACGGGGCATGCGCGTTACCAGCAAATGCCATGTGCTTCGTCAGTAAGTCATTTTTTATTAAGACTACGTAGCCATCGACTACGCTTAGTCTTCGCTGTTGTGTAACACAGTTTTACTCCTAGCATTACCCAAAGTTTAACATTTTTACAATTTCATCTTCTACGCAAAATTATTCATAATCAATTGTACTACTAAAGGTGCAACTGAAGAAATTAGGTTAGGGTGTTGCCCACATGCTACAAAGTTAAAACTGCATAAATGATACAGATTACATGGCACTTTTACACAGGGCTCTCTCTCAGTTTCATACTATTATTGAATCTGTCGTTGATTAACAGTTTTCTTCCCGGGGCATTATTGTTCATTCGTCGAGTCTTTCGGAGATTCCAGATAATTTCACAACACGCTTTTCGATACAATCCATTGAGTGACGTGACCAGTATGGGGTTTATTGCGCTGTGCGAATGACACGCCCAAAAAGACAAGAGTGTTGCAACAACAGGCACAGCAATGTCACTCCAAAAGAGTATTAACAAATGCATGATATGAGCGGGAAGCCAACAAAAGGCAAATGACATTACAAGAATGATGAGCATTTTCACAGTTTTCTTATTTTGAGCTTCTCGTTTTAGCATTGCCATGCGCGAACGACTACCTGGAGCATTGTTTCTCCACAGCTTTCGACAAATAAACGCGTACAATGTCCCAATGAACACCAGAGGAACGACATAAAGAAGTAGGAAGACGAGAGCAAAGAACACCTGAAGGAATTTGAAATACTCTTCTTTTACAACACAGTAGCTCGGACCGTCGGGACCAATGTTTTTTACTCCGTACACAACGAAGTACGGACTCATTAGTAAACAGGAGGCACACCAAATGAATGAATAACTAAGTCTTGGATTTTTAATAAAGCTTACACGCTTGAAAGGAAACAATATGCTAAAGAAGCGATCTAGGGAGACAAGAGTGTGTGTAAGTATGGATGCCGAGATGGAGAGGGCAAGGGCATACTGTATGATTTTACAAGTTACATCTCCGAATATTCCAGAAATCCAAACGTTCCTCAAATACAGGAACACTACGGAGTATGGCATAGCAAAAAAGGTGATCACGAGATCTGCTATCGCCATGTTCGCCAACAGAAGGTTAGTTCTCTTTCTCAGGTGCGGCTTCTTGAAAATGACATAAACCATCATCAGGTTGCCCACAAGAGATATGATAAAGATGACGACGTACGCTAACGTCATTCCAGCCTGCAATTTCAGAGGAAGGTGATTGGCTTGGTCTTCAATGCTTCCATTAGAACCTTTTAAAAGAATATAAAAATGTCACACAGTTGACACTAACATAATATATACAATTAGCAATTATCGTATGAGGCTGAGTGTAATGAATTAGGTAGATCATGGAGAGTGTTGTCTGAGATCTACCTAATTCTTCGTATCACACGAATAGCCCCATGTACTAAGGTAGTCTAGTAAGAAATACTTGGATTCTGGATTCCACGCCGTGGAGTCCGGATTCCAGGTACTGGCTTCTGGAGTTTTCTCAGTGGAACTTAGTTTCCGGATTCCAAATATCGCCTTGAGATTCCTGATTCCTTGAGCTGTATTCCATAAACCAAAGCCCAGGATTCCGGATTCAACAAGCAAAAATTTAGCAGATTCCGGAATCAGGATTCCGGTATATGGGGCGATACGAAAGCCATATCATTCATTCAAAACATTCAAACTTCCTTATACGCTTTTATACTTTGATCGATAAAGAGTTCCTGTCTTCATTTGCATGTTATTCCTCGGCAAATTTTGCAGATTCTTCATATAGCAGTAATTTTCAATCGTTGAGTGGTAAATTTGCTATTCTTGTAAAACTTTTTAGGCATTAGTTCGGCTATCTCTTCCTCGTCAATCCATAGTTAATAAAGTGTAAGGGTTATGTAGCCTGTCAGACATCTTTGTTATATGTATATTTGTTAGCATTTTTTGACTTGACGGTGCACAACGTTTAAGTAACATTTCTAAGGAGCCCTGACCAATAAAAACGTCGCATTAAGTATTTTCAGTCTTAATTTGTCACGGTGTACATTGAACAAGCAAAAGATTGTGCACCGTCAAAGAGCTCCATATATTAAACTGCAGCACTTTTTTTTCTCTGACTAATGTTTGCCGACTTTCGTAACCAATCTCCTCCGTTATTTCATACCATGCCGTAGAAAATACAGACAACAAGAGACTATAAAGGGGACAGAGAGGGCATCCCCCATATACACCCTATTCCATAGGTAATTCGTCTCGAGTTATTTTTAACACCACAGATCTCAAGGGGGATTAGACAACAGCCAATCACATAGCGCGAATGTGTTCCGCGTGGATGACCCACGCTGAGAACCACGCGTCCTTCACGAAATGACGCAGAACAAAATGGGGAAAGACGCGGAGAGCGATTTTGCTATTCCTTTTGTCGACGAAAACGACTACAGCGAGATTTCTGCGAAAGCTGTGTCAGCGAAACCGAAATTAAAAAAGAATCGCCCTTCCTCTCTTGTATAGAGCTAACAGTAGAGCAGGGAAATCCTTAACACACTGAATATTCTCTCAGGATCATTTATAATTTACAGTTTGAAGAGAGCAATTTCTGGTTTGATGTTTATTTTTTTCAGTCTTTATAGCGATTATTCCTACCCACTTACTTTGTCAATTGTAGGCGAACCCTCCTAAAGCTGAATTTCAAGGGACCATATTCAAGCTCAGAAAGAGAAATAAAATTTTGTCGTTTCTTATTTACGTCCTCCATATAACGCGAAATTAGGCATTTTCACGTCGTAGTCGTGCAAAAACGGGAAAGAAATGAACAAAAAAGTGTGTTGCGCGTGCGAAGTTGTTGTTTTGCTAATTAAACCTATTGTTTTTTTTGATGTTCTAGTTGTCGTCCGCGTCGTTGGATCTTAAACTCCCTAAATTGTACAAACGACCGGTTTCAATAGACCGGCGAAATTTCTCATTTTATTAAAGCACTGAGGTTACGACAACTTCGAGTTAAACTGATTTCACGGGTTGTCAAAGAGTCCAGTGATTCCTTTTTCCCAGGTGAGCGCCGACTCATTTCGCTTCAATATTCAGGAATGCTTTCGATCTTTTTACGCTTTCATTGCCTCTCGCCCGACATGTTTTGCACGGCGTTTGGTCATGCGAAACCTCCACGAAACATCCACGCCTCGCGCGAGGTAACTTTATCTCTATTCTAAAAATAACTCGAGACGAATTACCTATGGAATAGGGTGTATATGGGGGATGCCCTCTCTGTCCCCTTTATAGTCTCTAGAGACAATCAGTATACAGGAAAGCCGTTGTATATTTGACGGTATTACACCCGATTTTCCCATCGTGCGCCGCGATTTTATTCCCGCCGAATTTTGTAAGCCGCGACATTTCTAGTTTATTTTAGGCAAGTGTTGCTTGAGCCATGTCAGAGCCAAATTTTTCCTCGACAGTAATTTTGAGGTCTAAAACTTAGCAGTAAATGATACTTCTGCCACAAAACACAACTGACGGATCAAAAAGTTGGTACTTTCGTTAAAGAACGAAGAATGATAGCAAGTTTGTCAATCTCATTCAGGAGCCGCCTCGTTCAGGTATTTCTCTCGGTTTTAGAGTTGAAAACTCAGTCCAAATTTTGCAACCCTTTAACGACATGAACGTTTTGACTCGTAATTTTTGCTTTTTCTTTGATGAATTTCAATCAAGTAAACATTTTGGGAGAGCTTTTAAGTTTCCTATTCTTTTGCTTTGTGTGCTTAGAGTTTTAAACTCATGCAGTACGAATTTTGCAAGCGTTTGACTCAAATATTGCATTTGACATGTATTTTGTCTAATCTGTATAATGAATTTTAATAAACAAACATTTTGTTATGAATATTTATTAAAAAAGTATTAAAAACTTTGTCATCTTAGTCTGCCCGCATGTCGAATTTGTTGTGCTGGCTACCGTGTTTTTTCTATGGAATGGTATGAAATGAAAGGATCGTGTGTGAACCGAAAAAATACAAGTGTCTCATGGGATATTCTACAATATACCACTCGAAAGCGTTGCATAACTAGTATTTCTCCAGCTGTACCAAAACGGCTGAGCTACCGCGCCTTCGAGTCTGCCATCCCTTAACTTACCACCTTGAAAGGTTTCCATTGCCGCCGTAGCACAATTTTCAGCTCAGTTGGATCTGTAAGTCAAGAAGAAAGCAACGAAAAGTAAAAACAAAACAAAAAATTTCAGATCTAGATGAATTGATCATTATTTGACTAAATACTGAGCGATGAAGTCTTTTGCGCTTGGCGCTTAGAAAAAGAAAGTAGTTTAACAGCTGAAAAGCGCAGACTGGTCTGTTTTTGGGTGTCTATCTCCTCTTTTAGTTACAACGTAATATATAAGTTGTTTTCTATAGGATTCATTGTCATGAAAACAGCAGTAATTAAAGAAATAAACTCACAATTATCCAACAAACTGCAACATGGTCCTGTTAGTTATGCAGCTTCTTAACTGAAAGCGCTGTTTATATCGTAGAATCTCTGTTTAAAATAAAGAAAGAGATGACAACCGACGGTTCGATTTACGTAGGCCGCAATTTTCGCAGCGCTAACGGATATTTGCGCTACACTTTCAGCCACCTTGCGTGGGCAGCAAAGCAAACGACTGCTCTCAGATGAGTGACCGGGCTTGAATTAAGATATGCGATAGATGTTTTTCTTGTAGTTTTTTTTTTTTTTCATGCGGGAACAAAATAGCTTCTGACCATCTTGCTCGTTATGGTCAGCAAATCAGAACAAAGCCCACTTGCTGAGCCAGCTGCCTGGCAATTAAAAACCATACAAACATTCTAGAGGGTTAAAAAAAAAGCATTTTTTTCTTCATTTTTCTTATAAATCTGCGCTATTTACATTATCAGTAGAAGTCAAATGGGTTATTACTTATCTGTCCATTTTAAATAGCCATTCTATTGTCTATTTATATTTACTATGATTGGATTTATTTGATTAATCTATTTTGCAGCTAAAATGTGATACATTATGATATTAGTAGTATCGACAAAGAGACAGAGAAACTTGGAACAAAATTAGGCATACATTGGCGAAATGAAACACTCCTGTGATACGATTCGAGGAATAATGAACAATTAGTCGCGAATAGAACCAATTGAAAGCTAATTCTTCATGATTTTATTTCTACGGCCATTTCTTTGTATCAAATTCATACCGAAAAGTCCAAACATTATTTCTCCCGACCAGCTGAATACATCAGGCATCTTATCTTTAACATTCTTGAGGATGCAATAACATTTTTCATGTTTTCTTTTGTATCGATGTTTATTTTGTAATATTTGATCATTTTGACATTATGTCAGCCATAGTTAAATCAAACTGAATGTGAAGCTGTAACTGAAGGCAGTTCCTTTGAACCCCCGCGACAAGAAACATTTTCCCACGCATTTAAAAGCGAGCGTAATTGTCTTGGCCACCTTTAAGAGATAAATGAAAGTTTGCATTTTAAATTCCGGTATCATCGACTCGTTACGTGTGATAGGCCTTTTTCTTTGACTTCTTTTATTCCAGCAATTAACTTGTCCATCTTTTTTAAATGTTTGGAGATTTATAATATTACATGCAAACTGAGGTGACATTCACAACCGCGCACAAAGATTTCACTTTATCCCTATCAAACTAAAATTAAGTGGACCTCTTCAGATCGTAGCTGTGCAGAGAACACAGGGAAACGTACAGAAAAGGGCGATCGATGCTCTTTCTTTGCTGGCCAAGTCGCCATATTCATGAAATTTTAGGAACTGTATGTGACACAACTACTTAAACTATAATATCACATCATTATTATTATTTTTTTGCTCCAAACAAGATAAGCAGTGGAGTGGTGACCTGGCTTAACTGTATCGCCAACAGCTTGAACCAAGTTGAACTAAGTTTTGCGGTCAAAATAAATTGCTCTAAAACGTATACAGTTTGTTTTGTCTATAGTTAATTTTTCTCTTAAAGCTAAGATTACAACAAGATCGCAAATAAACAAAGTCGCTGAACGTTTTTTAGTCGATTTTATACATCTTTTTGCAGCGATAGTCTTCGATCTTTTCGCTCAGTGCTTAAAGTAAACCTGATTCGAATTCACAACCTAAAATAAGGCATAGGTTCAATACGTTCATGAATTTCCTGGCAGTTGTTTTGAGGATGAAGCTCTCTTTGCAATTTAAAGCTTGCCTTTGTCGCTCTAGATCTCTGATTGTTCATGTAGAGGGCCATTAATTCTATAGGCGCGTAAAATAATGCTTGCTTTCATTTAAAAGCGGCCGCGGCCTTTGTGAATGGAAGACCAAAATGTTACGAGTTGTAATAAAAACGCGCAACAAGGTCGCTCTTCTTCTGAACTGTAAGAAACCGATTATTAGAATTTGTGAACTTTTACGCCCGTTCCGCTGTGATTACACTGCAATATTAATGTTTAATGAACAAACCGGACCGCGGTTCCTCGCAAACTGACTAAATCATGATCAGAATTTTTTAAAAAAAGCCAGGGAGAAGCAAAGAGCTATGCACGAGTCCGAAAATAGGCAGTGAAAAAAAAAAGCAACAACAGCAAAAAAGAACGAAAGAAAGAAAAGGAAAGAAGGAAGAAAGTGAAATAATGACTGGTCAGATTATGGTTTGCGTAAAAAAAGGGAGAGAGAGAGAGAGACAGAGGGGAAGAAAAACATACAGAAAAAGTTAAAGATTTTGGAAGTCGAAAGCAAGTCATTTTCCCGAAATTAAAATTAAACTTTGCTGGCGATTGCTTTTGGTTGTTGATCTTGTTTTCGTATGAAAAAATGTGGGAACCGTCAACCTTTTTGAATTTTAGACTGAGTTTGGTTTATTTGCTTTCCGGCACTTGTTTCCACATCCTCAATCACGCGATATTTTAATGAGTGCAATTCTATAGCGATTAATATTGCTTGCCTCTGTGTAAATACATTATCAGCGGATTTTCCCTGGAGTGCGTTTATGAATAATAAACTGGTACGTGACCAATATGACGTACTCGGAGGTTGATACTAAAACACTGTTATCTGGAGTCATTTCCACAAATTAAAGCTAAATATTTTAATACTGGCCGATTTTTTTTATCCTGTTTCTATTGCCGTAAAACCACGTTTCAAATAGGAAAAACTTGAAAAACCATTTCTTGAAGGTCAATATAAAAAGAAAAAAAAGCGTTTCACTTTCTGACTTAATCGCACTTTTATATAGTTTAATTAATAATGTCTGTCTGATTATTTCCTAGTTGGCGTTCATAACGGCTGTTTCTTTGTATTTTGCCGCTTTTGAAGTGCATAGAAACTGCGACAAAAAGATACTTGTTTTTTATACATTTATTTTTCTATGTATTCTTCCTCAAGACCACACACTCAGACAAAGTCGATAGACTCGGCGGAATAATTAGCCGAATGAATCAAATCATTGAGATGAAAGTTTTGTCTAAAAGAGACCATGTCTGTTTCTGATATTTCATTACGTGTTTTGACTGATAGAAACCTATATGAAAATGAAGAAATGATATATTTCATATGATATATTTCATATATCATATAATATATTTCATATATCATTAACACAGAAACATATATGATGATGATGACGCCTACCTACTTACATATCGCAATAATTCTGATATGGAAATTTGAATTACCCTTACCGGATTAAGAGCCACAGATCATTCTGAAATAGTGGTATTAAAATTACGTAACTGATCTACATTCTGAGGCTGTCGGTGCAGTTAAAGAAACATCATAAAGCGTTGATTCCTTTTTCTCTTCAGTGCTTCCGAGTATCGGTTCATGGCAAATATTGGTTGTTTACCATTTACAAAAGTTTCCGGAAAATCCGGTTGGAAAGTAAATGACTCACTAGTCATTGGGTCGTTCCAGCAGCAAATTTCCGGCAGCAACGGAACATCTGAAAAGGTAGTCCGGTTTTCGGGGCGGAATATTCCTAACGGAAATTCGTGTCCCATTTCTTCAAAGCCATATTTGATACCGGTTTCAGGCCTTGGCGGCCGTTTTTTTCGGTAACTTTAATTTTCCTTACCATAAATTATACCCAAACCGTGAATCGACCGGTTTGCTCATTCAAATGGTAAACAACCTTTGTATCCGCGTCCACGTTCAGCCGGAGCTGCTCCCGACATGGTCGCAGACCATGGGTACCACAGGCCCGTGTCGGCTGACACCGATAGTTCCTGATAGCTTCAGTACAGTATCGCCTACGGACGCTAAGCCGAAATTGGGGCCCACCATTGTCCGCCGAATATTACCGCAAAAATCACGGCAGGTCGATATCAGTATTTAACTTGAGAATCTACTGAGCGCTTGGCAGTATTGGTGAAGAACCGCAGCGCAAACGCTTGCAAAACGCATGCGCGCAGCCATGGCTGCCACTGCCTGGGTGATATAGCTGTGCGCATACGCAAGGTTTTGGCCTCACCGTGGAGTTGATAATGTGTGCTTAAATTAGTATTGAAATAAAATACACTTATATGTGCTGTATTTTGTGATAATCATCGGTTTGTAGCGATTTGGGATACATGGTTTTGCGATACTTTTTAAACCGTCAATAAAACGAGTTATAAAGGTTAAGAGACAGTATTGCAAAACTCTCCTAACTTGCCCCAAACGCCACCTTCCTTCTCCGATTGTGCTATCGACTCTGTCGACCACTACAACATCGTACGTGTATGTGTCCGTATGTGTCGCAGTACCAGGAAATTTTAGTTCATCTATTTCTCCAAAAGTGTTTCCACCTCATGTTCCCAGCAGTTTATCTGAGCGATCAAATCCATATTTTCCCAAAGAGCCCACAGTCCACGGGATCCCATCAGTCGATATGACAGTTGAGGTATTTACTGTTCGCAAGCATCTCACATCATCATCATCATCATCATCATCATTAGCTTTGTTGTAATTGTTATTACTATTATTCATTAATATTGTTACTAATATTATCGATTCTTTTTATCATTATTTTGTTAGTTACCGTTCTCAGTGTTTTGTTTAAGAAGATGCGATGCACTCTGAAGGTCTTGGAGAACAGCGCGCAAAAAGCCATAGTGAAACCAAAAGACATGAAGTCCATGTGCTTGCCTGAAATGAAAAGACAAAAACCAAATCGTCCCTGTCCAGGCGTTACTTTGATATTACATCACAACCAAATATTTTAAACAAATAAAAGCATCAACAAAGTGCCAGGCGAATAACACCCTCCTCGTTACGATTATGATTATGCTGATGATGATGATGATGATTATCGTTATCATCAACATTGCCGGGAAAAGGTCCTTGGATGGAAAGGAGAACTCGAAGGACTATCTGAGATAGCAAGGAGCCAGCCTCATGCAGCCTACACTGTTTTCACGAAGGGTTACAATCCAAGTTTACCTATTTCATGCGAACAATAGAGTCGTTTGAAGATTACGTTGACCCTATCCAAGAGGCGATCGACGATTTACTTCTCCCAACACTATTCGGTCAAACGGAGCCCCTCCCAAGTGATTTGCGTCAGCTCGTTACTTTGACACCCGCTCAAAGAGGGCTGGGCGTATTCGACCTACGGTTTGACAGCACCGCACGTAGATTCTAATACCACACAGAGCATGTTCACGATGGCAGGCGAGAATTCCACGGAGCAGTTAAAAAGACAACATCAAGCCTTAAAAACTGAGTCGGTGAAATTGAGAATGGAAAGTATTGATTCCACTCTACCCTCGGATCTGCTGCGGTCAGTTAACCAATCGAGAGACAAGGGAGGGCGCTCATGGCTTACCGCAGTGTCTCTTGTCGTTCAAGGCCTAGTGCTGAATAGACAAGAATTCAGAGGCTGTCTGTCCGACTTACTAAGCAAGTGTGTTTGTGGTGAGAAGTATACCGTCTGCCATGCTCTGTCAAGCAAAAAGGGAAGGTTCGTGGCGCAGAGACAGGATGGTGTTCGCCTACTTAACTCGCTTATTGGTAAGGTTTGCACCAACTTTGAAGTCGAACCACAACTACAACCTCTCGATAATGAGCGATTCAACCTCAGAAGCGCGGAAACAAGCCTGGAAGCAAGGCTGGACTTGAAGACAGAAGGCTGTTGATCTCGTGGAGTTACAGCATTTTTCGATGTCAGAGTAAAGCATGTTAACTCCAAGTGTAAACAGGGAAAAGTAACATATCCACCATCTTTAAGGAGCAGGAGAAGGAGAAAAAGCGTAAGTACCAACAGAGGGATGGGATCTTTCACCCCTCTAGTTTTTGGAACCAGCGGTTGGATGGGAGCCGACTGCAACTGCTTTCTCAAACGCCTAGCCGAGAAGCTCTCAGAAAAGAAGGACGAACCTTATCACATTACTATTACTTGGATTAGAGCATTGCTTTCTTTTGAGATTTTAAGGTCGTACACACATGCGTAACAGGTTCCAGGACACCCTTCCACAAAATTCCATAAGGGGATTTCATTGATGATGCTTAAACGCTAGCCAAGCGTGTGTCCGTTAATTGTAGAAAGTGATAATGGCGTGGGCTTGTAAATTAGTACTTTAGGATCTTTTTAATATTTTTATTTCATCAACTTTTAGTCTATGATAGTGGAATGTAAATTGGTCATTTGATGACTGCCGCTTAAAAGCTAGCCAGGCGTGTGTCCGCTAATTTTAGAAAGTCGATAATGGCGTGAGCTTGTAAATTAGTGTTTTAGGATCTTTTAATATTTTTGTTTCATCAGAAGTTTAGTCCATGCTAGTTGAATTTAAATTGGTCATATGCTAATAAATATTTTTGCTATCTTTTTCTTCTTTCGCAGCTTGTATTCTCCGGGGCTCGGAGAAGCAACCAGTTTCCTTGGGAGCGGCGGGGGGAGTCATTATCTAATTATAATTATATGATAATGATAATAATAATAATAATAATAATAATAATAATAATAATAATAATAACAATTATTATTATTATTATTATTATTATTATTATTATTATTACAATTAGAAAAACGTTGCAGATTACAGGTGCTAAATTTTTTTTCAACAAATCCAACTGATGTCGTTGTCTCTTCTCAGGGCAGTTTCTTGTTTTTAAAACAATTTTATTTAGTCAAAACATATTTATAAACAAGCATCACATTATTCATAAATCTCATAAAAAGAAAACTTCAAAAACTATACAGTCTGTAATCCAAAGGTTCCTGATACAGCAAAACAACTCCTTAACCGCAATTATTGCTGTTGCCAACCTGCAGTTAGTTCACTATCGATTCATCGAACTCATTTGGTGGCAGGATTAGCGGGTTTGACTGCAGAGCGGAAGGTCGCGGGTTCGATTCTCGCGATCGGGTCCGGACCAATACTCAGGGTCTTAAAATAACTGAGAAATGAGGGTACTCCCTATGCATTGCAAGCGGCTAGACCTTCGCATGCCTCGGATGACCACGTAAAATGGCGGTCCAGTCTACAGTGGGAGACTAAAAATGGTGTCCCCAATTAGTATACTTTCGTGCTAAATACCTCAAATAAAGTGCATTTTTTTGTTACAACTGTGAATAAAGTAACGTCATGTTAGATACTGAAGCTTGTCTTCACCTTCAGCTGATCGGGAGGCAACTGATTGTTGACTTTTCCGAGTGCGTTCCGAGAATTTTTCATTCCAACTAAGTTCAATAACTAAATGACCAGCACCTTTCGAATAATCTGGATTGGAGCCACTGCCTCTTTTCTTGTCTTTTTTAATTTAATATATTTTTATTACTGTATAAAGCACGTTCCATCGAGCCGGAACTATAATTATAATTCAAGAACCAGGTTTTTGCTTAGGTTACAGGTGGCTGCATTCGGCGCGACCACTAAAGATGGAAAGGGTTGTCAGCTGAACATTCAGTGTTCATCACTAAATCATGTTGTTTTAACGAGCATATGTTCATTTACACATTCATAGCCAAAAAGGCAATGAAGGAATTGATAATGGCGAGAACCCAAATATTTACTTAGTTTTATCTTGTACAATGAAGCACCTTTCTTGTGTTTGCCGTTATAACTTGCTGTAACAGACTATACATTGTATTGTGAGTGCCATTCTTTAGCGAGAAAGATCAGCTTTTTAAAATTTATTGATATCTTAAAGAGCAGATTGTATGAAAATCTAATATGCAAATGACAGCAGTAACCTGTCACAATTTGGTAGTGATAAAATGTTCATTTTTTACTTTGAGTGCCCGGCAGAGACTTACGACTAAGTGCATGTTGGACCAGTCGGTTAACTTTATTTAAAAATCAGTGAAAAATTATTATATTACAAATTGGCACTATTCAACCTCACATTTAAATAAGTTTTTATTGATAAGGACATGAAAAAGTGAGCCAAAAATTTAGGACAAATTAAGCAGGGGAAATTTGCTACCACGGTGACCAACCCTTTGGAGCAGTACGCATTCAGCTTTGAGAACAAAGAAACGAAAGTTTTTGTTTGTTTTCCTACTCAAAAAAAGCTATTATAGACATTTCATCAAACGATAAACGAAGTGGAGAAAATGAATAGACCAGTTCGACTTTTGATTACCATTCTGGACAAATTTTCTGTGAATAATATTCATTTAATAATCCTCAATTGCCAAACTTACTGAATATAGAGCAGACTGCCTTTGTTTTCATACGGTTGTTTTAAAAGCCCTTCTCATTGATATATTTTGCATATGAATGTAGGTGTTGTTACTAGAGAGTTTTTTAGAGAGTGAATAACGACCTTTAGGGAAAACACTAATTGAAATGAAACAATGGCTAAATTATTTTTCATTTGTACTTTAAGTTAATGTCGAATGAAGTTCCTTCAGTCATTTTTGTCAATAATAAAAAAACCAATGCATCAAGCCATATCGCGTTTCTTGGTATATCATCAGTCTTCAAGTTTTTCCATTTAACACAATCGACAAGAAAGGAAAATTAAAACACTCAGTTTTCGGTTGGTGAGCGACCATGCACGTTTGATTGGCAGCACGTCACTTGCAGAGCATACTAGCTGAAATTTCTATGACACCTTATTTCGTTTATCAGTGTAAATTGGTATCAGCAACTTTGATATAAGTCGCTGTCAAAGTCATATAGCCATCGTTTTCATCCATTTAAGCATAATTACGGACTGCAGCTCTGACCACCTGTACTGTGTGATATATCCAGTCAGTATTTTCACTTCGTCAAGATGCAACCAACAGATCACACAGCAACAAGCCCTTGGTCTTCTCTATCACAGAACTGGTTCCGTCCTACTATGAATTCCTCATTTTACTCCGTCCAGGGAATGTCTCCTGACTCAACAAGAAACATCAATCGTTTAACAGAGCACATGATGCACAGCCCCACTGCCGGCGAGAGACCCACTTCTCGAATGCCCCAGCATCTAAACGCCTTACCCCACACATTCCCTTCAAGCTACTACCCCTCGGTCAACAGCTACTATTCTATAAGCCCAGGATGCCAAGAAGTGGGAACCCGGACAAACCCTTATCATGTCCTTGAACATGGCGGGGCAGGTGCGGCAGATGTGGAACGTTTGAATCAACTTTTTGAGAAAACCAAGACTGGCGGTGTAGTGGGAACCACAGGTGAGACAGATAATCTTGGGCGACGGAACTACAAATTTTATTGATAGCCTATTGATTCACATGTAGTTAATCTAATATTTTTGTGTAGAAATCTATTTATTCACCGACCATTTGTCTATAATGTACCAATTACATAAAAAGGCAATGCGAGGAAATGAGATAATTTTCCGTAGACGCCCAAAACTTGAACTTCGGACACGAAAAATCATTCCTTAAAACTCAGATAAAGAAGGCTATGAGGAAGGAGTAAAAAGGGATGTGTAAATCAGTTTTTATTCATTTTTCTTTATGAACAGCTGACAAAGTTGTTTGGGAATTCCGCATATAGTTCACACTGAAAGCTACTAAGAGACCAAAATATAGTGTATGGCTTTTTTCATTATCATAAGAAGACATCTTCATTGCGCCATATTGTCAGTTTTGTGCTGCGACATGTAATTTGCAAATGTAACGTCGTGGTTTCCATGCTATGGCGAATAAGCCCATTTTTAGCGATGACTAAGTTGATGTTTTTAATAATTCTACGCTGATCTTCAAGAATCCTTTATACCACTGAGTCAAAGCATGTGAAGTTTCAGGCTTGAATCGTGTTACCATTTTAAGATCAGTCGAGCCCCCCAAAGTAAAGGATTGATATTGTATTCAATGGTGCACGAGGCACTTGGTAATTTTTTTTCATCGTCTTGCCGAAAACTTCGCTGAACAAAATTTCGGCTCGTTATTTTAGAGCTAACGAACCATTTGAGGCGTATTCGCTTGTCCGCAGAGTTGAAAATGCCAGAAAGAGGTCGCTTACAGGAGATGTGGCCAAAAGGAGGTTCGGTTCTACTTATTTCGTTTGAAATTGGTTCCTCTCTTTCTGTATGCTTTTAATTTTGAGAAGTGTGGGTAGGAATGGTGAAAATTAAAGGAGATCTAGCCCAAATTTCAATTGGAGAAATTTTTGTAATTCTTTTTTTGTGTGTGTTGACGCGTGATTATAACTAAGGATGGTTCGGGAACACTTGTATGTCATGCATGGCCAGCGCTCATAGTCCTGGCCAAGAATAGATTGGCCGGCTACAGTGATTTTTATTAATAAAAAAAGTACTATCTGCAGGAATATAATAGAACATCGCTTAAGGTACGTCACCATTTGTGAACATCAGGGACAGTAAGTGCGCCATACTTATCAAACATGCTTTCTTTACCCCTTGTAAATCAGGCTTGACCAGACAAAAACGTTTATCAAAGCATAAAGCAAAAGTACAGGTCATGCATAGCAATCTTCTTATGATGGCAACTTGGCATTCAGATCTCGTAGGCGTGTGGTCTTCGACAAACTCCTAAGTATGCGCTGGAACTTTCTGGCAAAATGTTATAATGGGATTTTTTTTAGATCTCGTTTTCGCTTTTATAAAAAAATTCTTAGCGAGCAACTGTCATAGTAGTCATGATCACGTTCTCTAGAATTTACGATCGAGGCGAACAAGAATGGATTGAAAAAGAACAAAAAACACACACACAAGGAAAGTAACAATTAATACCTTACTTCCCTCTTCACTAGTTAAGTTATTTTTTTAAAAAAGGAAGTCAGTAGGATTGCCTGTTAACTATGCTGTCTTTTTCTTGGAAAATTGACCCGTACCGCGTGTCAATTGGCGGAGAATGCATCGCGCACTTACAAAACAATATAATATGAAATATTATTGTATTCGATGCTCATGAAGGTGATTATCATGTACGGTTTTCTTTCTGTGCAGACCTTTCCCCTCGAGTGGAAGACAGAAATGGGCTTCGCTACATCAACGACAAGATTATCAGGCCTCAGCGAGGACGCACCGTATTTTCGGCAAAACAACTGCACGAGCTGGAGAAAGTTTTTGTCAACGATCAGTACATTTCTGGCCAACAGAGAAGACGACTGTCCAGTCAGCTGGGATTGACAGAGACACAGGTTCGCGTCTGGTTCCAGAATCGGCGGATAAAGTGGAGGAAACAAAAATTAGAACGAAAAGTAAAAGCGTGAACAGGAAATAGTTTAAGAATCAGTCTTGGCATCATTCCTAAAGGCGCCTTAATATTATACAGTGTGTTTTGGAATAAGGATTATTTACTGATTAACAGCAGTGTCAAAATAATTTGGTCCTCTGTTTTAACTAAAAAAGTTCATTCTCTGGTCAATTTAAATATAAACCTGCTAATTAAGAACTATTTAATATTTTTCAGAAATTATCATCAGACACAATGCTTAATGAAAATGTAATCAGGTTCAAGATTCACCGATTTGGATCAGTATCATCGACTTACTGTCTCTTGCCCGTTATATATTAGTTGTGAAGCTGATAAGCAGGCAGCTAGTTTATGAGCCTTTTAGCAAATATTCGCCCTGCATACCTAGGGAAGAGAAACTAATTATAAGTTTTGGGAGGAAACTGCGATTGTCAGGATATTAGGCATGCCGATGATTGTGGGTATACGACGTCAACCGCCACCAGGCGAAGTGGGAGGGGCGAAACTTCAAAGTCACTAATTCCAAGTCTCAGAATTCCGTTGAAGTGGCCAAAAACGTAGAATTTTAAACTAGGGCCGGATGTATCATGCCGCTAGCGGTCCAGGCTCGAAACAGCGGATTCTGCCAATATGATGCATGCATTGAGAATATAGCCTAAAGTTACTGTCGTTTGGTATGCAGTAAGTAATAGGGGAAATGTTCAAAACAAGTGCACATGACGTAGCTTGGACCCACCAATCCACACAAATACTGTTAGTGTCTCAAGATCTATGATACCCCGTTTCCCATATCGTAATCATTTTCATGAATAGCTTTTTTTCCTTGCCACTAGTAGTAGGCCTAGAACAAGAATAAAAATAAGTATAAGATTATCAAGATTTGAAAGCCTCAGTGCAGTTTGTCTGAAAATATTTCAGTCTTATCTCCGATTTTCAGCCAAACATTCAAGTCCATGAAGGTGTCTCAGTATATACGTCCTAGACACCCTGGCCTTTGTCAAGGTGAGACCTCGTCGCGTTTGCACTTGTTTTGATCACTTTCTAACTCACTGGAATTGACTCAGACGCGAGTGTGACTGCCAAACCTTTTAACCGCTAGTTTATAATAAACCTATAAAATTGTCTGTATCATTGAAAAAACTAAATCATGCTTTTATAGCGTGTGAGAGCTTTTTGCCTTGTATGAACGAATTGTCTCTAGATTTCAGGCACCGCAATAATAAATGAACACTATTCAGGACTGAACCATCTGTGATCTTGTTGCATACTGACTCACTAAATTCAAGAACCCTGTGTAAGGTGATCAATGGGATAAAATTATGAGGATTGTCCTCAACAATCCCTGTTAAAAGAAGCTATTGCTTTTACCCCGTAGAGCACGTGAGAGAGTGGTGTAAAAGACAAAAGCGAGGACTGCCTCTTAGGCCTTTCTCATCACCCCAACCCGCGTTACTTAACAGGGAGGACTGTGGTTGAGTCAAGACCTTCATGTCTGCAGACCACCAAGGAACTCCTTACACTTTTGCTCATTTAACAAACTAAAATTTTTCTCGTTCTCTTATAACATGTGCACCGCTTTTAACACAATGTTACGACTAAACGAACACTCTGTACATGCTCTTGAAAAAGAAGCGATGGATACTGATGTCGTAGAACTATTTTGAAATTCTTTTAACTGTTAAAATTCCTCCTCGGTAACAAATGGAAATAAATCTTATCGAATGACTTCAGTCTGAGCCATAATATAATCTTAAAAGTCTTTTTAAAGCTTTCTTCATTCGTAAAATACATGTGGTCATGATCAGTGTTATGAGTAAAAGGCCCTTGTTTAACTAAAAAGAATTACCTATTCTAATTCTTTTTAGCGGCTTCTTAGCTAATTATTTTTCTGATTTAGATTTTTGGTCACAAACTTTAGCCTGACACCAGCTGAACTGACATTTAGGCCGAACTTGCTGTCGAGCATGGTTTTCTGTAAAGCTGTTGGCGTCTTCTGTCTGTGTGGGAGCTACGGATCGAGTAATTGAATAAGTTGTCCTGAGGGCTGGCACACGGTTTCGTTTATGTTCCTGAATTTTATTTCAATTTTCCAGGCTAACATCTCTATTGAGGTATAGGAGCCACCATCACGGTACAACGAGAATCCTGGCTTTTCCATCGGCAGGACCTTACTTGATCATGCTGCCTTTTAAATTAAAGGCTCTAACAATTGACATTTATCATGATAGTCATTTTTTTTTTCAACATAAACATCATGTAGTTGTCTTTTTACACAGCCAAGACTCATTCATGCTCAAAAGGAACCCTGAGGTTATTGGGTTTGGCGGTTTTTAGCATTCACAATTAAAGACGAGAGTTGTCACTGAAATTTCTATTACAAAAAACACTTTAAATGCCCTCCCATTTTGCGGTGGTAGAACAAGAGGGGTATTTTATGTGACTAATTTTTTTTACAGCGAACTTTCCCCAGAATTTGGCCAGCAAAAACGCACGTTTTATTTTAAAAGCTGGGCTATAGCTACGAGTCTCATAATTTATTAAATACGAACTCAGACAACCTAAGGGTTGCTTTTCATTGCCATACAATGATAATCTTAATTTAAAACAAAATGAATTCATATGCGATCACACAAGAGAGGTTTTAAATTTGCTGCGTTAGTCTGTAGGAAGTTAACTTAACTCTCTCAATAAAATAAACTATTGCATTTAGTTATCTTTTTCATCTCTCTACTAAAATAGAGGTGTTTGTGCTCACACATTTTAAATGCCTTATTAAAACAATTAACAAGTAAACATAACGTCGAAATAATAGTCATTTTCGTTTTCAAAGAAAGCTAATTTACATCCGTTGGAAATATGCTGGCAGCTTCTAAAAACGGGTACCCGTAGGTTTTAATAAGTTCAAGCTACTAAGAAAAATACCTGCAGAAAAGTCAGCAGATAAGAATTATAGAATAAGAATTTAGAGCAGTGATTTGATTTAACTAGGGGAAAGTAACTACTATCGCGTGCTCGTTTTGTAATAAAGAGTACATTGTCTTTTTGACGGGTTTACACGTAATTTGGTGCTGGTTGCTAGACGATCGCGAAGATACGTGTAAAAACGCAGCATAAAGTTGACAAGAATGAAAAAGACAATGAACAATATTAAAACAGCTCATTTCGTCGTTGACACGATAAGAAGAATCATTGTTCTCAGCGCGTTTCATCATGCAAAAAGCGGAGACTCGGGCTTTAACTTTGAAGGTCGGAAAGAACGAGGAACTAGAGCCTTGCCGTTGCGAAGCCTGTTTTTCAAGAAGAGATCTAGATCAGTTTCGCAGTGTATGCCCAGTGCCTCGTACCAGAGGACTGTACACCAATCCAAGAGATGCCAGACCTGGTTCATCGCAGGTCCCCATCGCGCCGTATCCGCTAGTTGGGTATCCGGCTCCTTCTCGGACTTCCCTTTACCCAGCGCATTACAATCTGCACAGACCTGCAAGCTATTCAAGAGCTCTTTACTTCCCGGCTGGCCCAGAAAGCCGAATTTACAATTTACCGAGAATGAAAGATATGCCCCGCGAAGAAAGTACAGCTCACGAGACTCGTTTGGTTCAAAGCCAATTTCCACAAATGCGACTAAACTTGGAAACGTCTAAACAGGGTATGTATAAGTTTGCGATAAAAGCTCTCATTATACAGTTCCAACATTACTTTGAAGGAGTTATAACAAAGTTGGAACACAATCAGGATTAGATTAGAAACGGCGGCCTACCTCTAACAGTGCAAGTGGTCACGATTTGTTTAAAAAAGTCATGTCTTTTTATAACGCAAATGGATTTTGAAAGGTTGTCTTTGGTAACCAGATAAAATGATGCGAAAATAACAAAGTATAAATTACAATCCAGCAGAGTAAGCACCATTTGATTATAACCTGTCGAGAGCAACCATCTTAATTAATCTGATATCACTGACAGACGGGAAAGGCTCGTTTTTGATGATGATATAGGCGATTGTTAGGTTTGTGGCTCATATAGTAGGTAATTAAAGCTATTTACGACGGGCATTCTTCTGTAAATAGAAACCGCCGAATGAATCCGATCACATGCAAAGGTACAAGTAAGATTTGAGTGTGCGTACTGACTCCGCAGCAAATAAATGCTAACCAATATATATCTACCGGATAGTGCCTAAAGAATATGCAAACTCTTATCTTGTAAGAAATGAAAACCAAAACTTTGAAAAAAAAGCAAAAAAAACAAAAAAAAGGATTCGAAGGAGCATTGTTGGAAAAAAGAGGGATAGACAAACTCAAAGTTAATAGAAAAACTGTTGATTTTCACTAAATAATAATATTCACTCAAACAATTGTTGAGGTGTTGGTATAATTAAGGTCTTAAATTAGTTTAATATGATTTTAAAAGGAGGCCCTATGAACTTCGCAGTGTTTTGTTCCGTTTAAAGAACAGATGAAAATCACAACGTTTTTGTTCATGAAAAGTCACCTTTGCAATCGGGAATGGATAACCGTAATTTTAACTAATTGTTTTAATTTCAATCACCCTTGAAAGTGAAATTGAAATGGAAATGGCTTTTCACATTCCTGAAAGAAATGATGGTTACTACGCTTACGTTTATAATTTACCATTTTCATTTGTTATTGTCATGTATTAAGAGAAAATAAAGAAAAACACTCAGGTCTCTTTATGTCACCGACCCAGTTTTTGAAAACGCTCTTTAAGTTCTGTGTGCGTGTATTTGAGCTTTGTTGTCAGCAGAGAGAGTTAAGTGCCTTTTTATTAGACCCATATACAACAGTTAAAAAATGCAAATACAATCAAAGAAACTTGGGCACTCAATGATATATAAACGGTGCAGTGGGCTGATGGTTAGAAGTTATTCTTTCTTTCATGAATGGTTAGAAAACTTGAGGACAATTTTATTACAAGTAATAACGAGCAATTTGAGGAAAAATGTCACATTTTACTGCCCTTTCGCATGCTCTTTGTTGCAAAGCAGGCGCACGTGCGCAAGATTATAGTAGATTTGTTTCAAGGGAAAAAGAAAAAAATTACCTACTGCATACAAAAGTATATACTTTTATTTGTAAAATATGTCTCACAGTATACTATGCGACTTATAAGACAACTAACACGCGACTTTGGAAAACGTTAATTTATCTGTGAAAATTTAATCCAAATAAAAACGCAGATGTTCATACTGCAACTCAAGTAGACGCAAGTTTTCACACAATCACACGGGGCATTCATACGCCACTTATTGGTTGAGCTAATCATCTGTTTTTAATCTATCCACTTCTTAGCTGCTGGATCAAATGAAAAACCACGGCGCATGCGCACTGTGTTCACCCCTCAACAGCTTGAGAGACTGGAGCTACACTTTATGTGCCAGCAGTATGTCGGAGGAGCTCAGCGGTTGTACATCGCCAAGCAGTTGGGGCTTTCGGAAACTCAAGTGAAAGTGTGGTTCCAGAACCGAAGAATTAGGTGGCGAAAACAAGTGCTCAGCACTGCAGTGACATCATCCCAGTCATAAATCAGCTAATGAAGTCGTTCTTTTTACGGTAGAAAGCAATCGTTTTGTATGTTGCGTCACCAAAGTGACACCAGAATCAGATCAGAGATATATTAAAGATACGTGATATTCCAAGTAAAAATCCAGACTGAGAGTGGGTACTGGGAGCATGCTCCCCCAGAAGATTTTTTAATTAAGGGTCTCGAAAATTTGCCGTTTTCAGCGCAAACTAATACGCAGGAAATTGCAGTAGTTAGTTGTTTATTTTACCCATCTCTAGTGTTGTCGGTAAAGGTTGATTTCCACTCTCGCGTAATTTATCGTGCGTACACTCGTAAATTTTACGCGTGAAAAATGTATCAGTCATCCCGATTTAATAATAAAAAAGGGCTTTTTCAGGAAATAAAAAGTATCTATTTTTCCATGTTTCGGCTATACATGTATGCACCGGGCGTATGTGCTTAGATGGACGCTACGCTCCTGGGAGTTTTAACTGCAGTTAATGCAGGTTTCCTGGTTTTGTCGGCTAATTTACACGTTTAAGTTAACAATATAAAATTGTATTTATAGCTTTTCAACATACAAAATTATATCCTTCTCAAAATCTCAGCCTTGCCGAGTTTATTCTTATCATATTCTTAAAATTTTGCAATTCAGCCTCGATACTCCTATAAAGCATATTATCAGTAAAAATAGAGTGTAACTCAGTGGTTGCAAGAGCTACATGTCACCCGCTTGAAAGATTACATTTAAAAACGTGGCAAAGGTATTTTAGGTTTGCCGATTTCAGATATATCTACATTGCCACGACATTTTCTATAGGCGAAATTATGACGTAACTGACCAAATAAACTTGTCTTTACGCAAAATTTTAATTGTTTAAGCCTTTGCTGTCTTTTCCTCTTTATTATGATTCATTACTCGCAAAGTTTCAAGGTGTGTCCTTTACCATATCTAATTGAAATGGTAGGCGGTAGCGATTAAACCTTCTATAAGAACTGGCTCCCTGCATTCTCTTTGTCTTCTACCAAATTTAAATTGTTATTGACTGTAAAAAGGGGTCCACGCCTTCTTCGTTTTGTACAAAAATTAGACCCTACCTATTTCATGTATTTCAGTGCCTTACAAAGAGTTTTAATTAAGGGTCTTCGTTTTGTAGTTCGACCCTGCTTTTTCTACAACACGAAGACCTTATCTAAAACAGATATTCTGCACCGAGTAAAAAGTAGCGAGCGATATCGTATATTTCGGGGCCCTACAAAGCGTTTTAGTAAGAGACCCTACCTGTTATAATTAAGAGTAAGCTACGTCAGTTTACATGGGTCTTCTTTTTCTTTTTTGGGGGGTCTTCTTTCTCGCGTCGTCGTTTTTGGGTCTTCGCTTTTTTTTAGATACCCCCGGCGTTTTACCTTGGTGACAATTAGCACGCTCCTCGTTCTCCATGTTCTACAATCCCTGGGCGAGAAAGGATTACTCTTGCCCTTACCCGGCTTCCAAGATTTCGAATTATTGAATCATGCTTAGCTCCGAGGACGGAGGGGAATTGAACAAAAGAAACACTGTAGCAACTCAACGGTAAGAGACTGGGTAGAGGCAGTACGATACACTTTATGAATCATTACATGACGTATCTTACAGTGAAGGGATTTTGTATAATGGCGGGCACAGCTGAGAAAAACGAAGCATGCATTTCTTGCTGCAAATGTTCCCTGGAATACCTCAGTGCTGCTTGTAACAGGACACCGTTGTGTGTGGATTGGGGAAGGAACGGATGGGTGGCTTACGGTGCTTGTCATTCCATTGCTTTGTGGCTTCCAAAGGTTCGTTCTTTAAACACTGTACTAATGTTTGTATGTTGTCTCCTTGTTCCACGTGCATTGATGGCGATGAACTCACTGCTTTAGTTTCTGCTCTAACTGTTACCTTAATATCCTTTAAAAATCAATTTCTCTTAGTTATCCTGTATTCAGCTTTTACATATTGAGAGGGGCAGAACATTTATTTCGTCTGCGCAAATTCAGAGCTGTTATTATTAAAATGATAAACATCTGCAGGTTCGAAGGCCGATTAGCACTTAACCCGGGGTTAAATGTAACCCGGGTTTCTTTTTCTTGTGTTCAAATGCGTTTTCTCGGATAATTTTCTCTGTTATTTTTAGAGCTTCCAATTATCAACTTGTAGACAAAAAGAATTAAAATTGAAATGCTTTTTAAGCTTTCAAATCTGAATTCAAATCTCGCACTAACCCTGGGTTATCTTAACCCAGCTTTGAACAACTCGGCCCTGTACAGTGTACATGTGGCAAATCGTCCAAAAGTCATCTCGCCCAAAGTTATATCGTGCGTAATTTAGTGAGCTATTAACCTACACAGTGATGCAGTCACTGTTTTTCCAGGCTTATTCCATTTTCAGGGTCAAAGGACGGCATAGGTTCACGGCTATGTGTCTCAGGTGTCTGCGTGCAAATTAACTGTTTGGGTGAGATGTCTTGTGGGCGACTTACTTGCTAGACAGATAGCAATCTGCAGATCAGCCTGCCAAGATTGCAATCTGCAGATAAGTTTAAGTTGGTTTTAAATCACTGTTTTCATGCATAACAGTCAACTTTGTTCTTTCACTTTCTTTAGAGAGCCTTTCCACATGGGAGTGTAAAGTATATTCTAAATGGACATAAGGATAGGGTTAACTGTGTCAAGTGGATTCCTCATCCAGTGTTAGGTAAGATGGGTAATACCTAAGACATTATACGATCATGCATAATCTTAAGGTGTATACAGTAGCACCCAAGTAGCCTCCAGGCTGTCACTAAGATTTTAATTTGCTGGGTAAATACAACACATGGGCGGGGAATCAAACAGCTAGGGGTTTCTTCTGGTTCTAATTTTTTTCTTTTTTCCTTTAAAAGTACCCGGGGGAAATCCCCGGCCCCTGCCTCTTAATGACAGCCCTGAACATCAAACTTGGATAACTTGAACCCATCTCCCCCCCAGCTAAGGTCTGGAAATGGGGGTCCTTATATCCCCCATTCTCGCTCCTTCTTAACGAAAATCCTTCATCCCGCACTTTTTTTTTGCGCTTTCCCGAATCCCCTTTTTTCTACATAAGTTCAAAAATTCTAATTTCTGCAAAAACTAATAAATGTAAGATGTAGATTGGTCCTTAGATTAGTTATACCTCAGTGTGACGAAGCAGAGGGAAAAAAAGGAAGAAGCAACAAGGAACAGAGGAAGGGTTCTTGCCCCTCATTCCCTAACCTCACTCCGTAGCTATTTTTTTCCTGCTACTTTTCTTTGCACCCCCTTGCTATCTGAATGCCTGGAGCAGGCTATTCTGGTGCTAGAAGACTCCTCTGTGACCGCAATAAAGAAGGACATCAAAACTTTTACCATCTGGTTCAAGGGAGCAGAGTTGAGATCATTCTTAAATTTAACTGATCAAATAATTTTCTTCAAGAGTTACAATAAATTGTAAGAAGTTTGGGCAATTACTGGTATGCGAGAACCATCAGCCCAATTGCCTGTCATGCAGTTGAATGTGTTGGTTCATCTGTTGATAACTTGACAGCCTAGGTCATTTTATAGTTTGCTTTGATAGGAGACACCACTGAACATTTGCCTGGTTGATTCGCATTTGCCACTGTTAAATTGTCTTACAATTATTTTCCTGAATTCCTGACAGACAGGCAAAAAAATCCCGCATCCAGTGCCTAAATTTTGGTGAATCCCTCTGCGTTGGTAGCAGTCAAAATAATAATCCCATTTCCTGTCAAGATATTTTGCCTTCGACTGAATCCCGCACAATATTTTGGTCAAATTCCAGATCCCAAAAATACCCTTCCATTTTGCAATAAACTCAATATACGTGATCTTGAATTCTCACATCCCCCTTTTTGTTCTTTTCACTTTCAGATGATGAATATGAGTTAATTTCAGGTTCAACAGATAAAACAGTGATTGTTTGGCAGAGGAAAACTACTGAAGACTATCAAGTATGCGGAGTGTATCCAATACTATTATTTTTTATTTGAGATCAGTTCATTGATTTTTTTGTCAAATGACTTTTTATTGGATAATTTACAAATGTACATGTATGTAAGGAAATGCCAATATTATCAACAAGTGGGCACTTGTACACTGTTCTCTGGACTTAAGACAACAATCCATGATACATATACACCAACTTGATCAGTGTCATCATCTGAAACTTTTACAGTCTTATGACATGTACAGAATGCCACTAAAAATGGTATACACATGTACATGTATTTTTCATAGTTGACACTCGTGAACATGTGTACACATAATATTATGTGTTACAGGTCAAAATTAAATTCAGGTTAAAATTTTTTAACCTAGTAGGTTGATTCTCAATTTTTTTTGTCTGTAACAGATGCATCCTATTTTTTTAAAACCCATTATGACTACACTGGGGGAATATTGGCCCAAGGTCTTAAAATACTGTACATTTACATGCATAATGGACCTAGCTAATATTCTGAGTAAAGCTAACTTTTTCTACTAGAGAACTGGCCAACATGGCTTTCAGTTGTTCCTGAGAGACAATTTAATTCACTTTCTCTTACTGTTTAATAAGAGCTTTTATGCTGTTGGTGAAAAAAAAAAAACTTGATTTCTCTGGACAGCAGCAAGCAAACAACAAATGACACAAGTTAACACAAAGTTAACATACTATAGCTACAACCGCGGACAAAACCTGTTGAGACAAATCGCGAAAATGCCTATTTTTCCCTGTCATCCCAGCAAAAACTGAAACCTCCGCCAACTGAATGCCCGATTTCCCCCCTCCCCTTATCCAAAGTTGTTTAGGATAGCATGGCAATTATACGTGCTGGTTTTTAATAGGGGGTGGGGAGGGGGTTTACTTTTTGTCTTTAGGGGAGACGGGAGGAGGGCGCAAAAGTTTAATAGAAAATAGATGGAATTGTCTCAACAGTTTTGTCCGGGGTTGTAGGTACTGCAGTTGTAATCTCAACTTGATACAAGTACATTCCAACCAATATCATAAATTTAATGGCTCTTGGACAGTCTGGGCTGCCTGTGACCTGAGATGCATGAAAGCATAATAGTCCTTAGAGTGTCTGGCATGAGAGATGACTACAATGTGTAACCCTACCTGTCTGTGTGCTTATGCTTTACATAGTGGAAAATGTGTGCTATTCTGGAAGGCCATGAGGGAGCTGTTAATTCTGTGGCTGCCATGACCATACAAGTATCCAACAACAATGCTGATATGAAAACAATCATAGTTTCAGCATCTGCTGACTCATCTGTTAGGATATGGGAAAGAATAGGATCTGGAGGTATGATCACAATGAAGGTTTGACCTAGCCTGTAAAATAGGCACCGCGATTTTTTTGCATTCTTCTGACAGGGAAGGCCCTCTCTTTTCATGCATGGTCTCTCACTCCATGCCTACTTCTTACTTCGCTTGCTGGACAAACTCCAAAAAAAGCCTTTGTTCTGCAGGCAGCTAGGTTAGATCTTACTTGCTGGGAGTTGCTTAGTAATCAGAATAAACATAATGTGCATTGTACTCTTTCTACTCTGGTTAACTTCCATGCAATTATTGTATTTTGCAGATAAGTTTACTTGTTCACAGACACTCTCTTTTGGCAAAGGATTTATACTAGCAGTGGCAGTTTCCATTCTTCCTGGAACTGTTGGTAAGTAGTACACAATCATGTACTTGCCCTCTGTAATATTATCAAACATTCTGTCAGTTATGAAATAATTTTTCTTTTCAGAATTGACAAATTTTGTCTCTGCTACATGTACATTGTTACAGGTCAAATTTGATTTCAGCTTAATTAATTTTTGATTTAACCCAGGTTGATTCTAATTTCCATGACATTTGTCTTCTGGCCCTAAAAGACAAAGGAACTGTAAATCAACCTACTGCTGTAGGTTAAATCAAAATTGACCTCAGTGAAATAAGATTTGACCTGTAACATATACAACATGTAGTTAACATTATATTATTGTTACTATTATTTTGTTTTTGTTTAGTTCCAGTAATTGCATGTGGGGGAGAAGACAGCAAAGTTCACCTGTTCACACAAAAATATGATAAGGTACCTGTTTTGTGAACCTTAGAGATTATATGGAATTAATGTTTGTTTTAGCTGTAAATACCTGGTACAGTTGATATATGATGGCCCATGTTTATAATTTGTTCACAAAGAAAATCTGTTGCATGTTTACTGGCTGGCATGATCATTTATCAGTTAACTAAAAATCATGCCATAAAAATTAGTGATGATGTCACAGAGACAAGAAGAAGTAAAATCCTGCTTTACACCCCTCAAACCCTGCTTAAGGGACACCCACTTAGACACCTCATTATTACAGACAGTGCACTTACAGCCTTACAAACATTCTTACTATATTATTGTACATGTTTAAAATGGACACCCCGGCCCACTAACATTGTCCCCTTAGTGTCCTTGTTAACGGGGTTCAACTGTTCATCACAGATCAAGTTTAATAATTATATATAATTAATGATAATGATAATAATAATGATTATAGTTATAATGACTACAACAATTACAAAAATTTGGATAATGATAATGTTAAGAATAAAAATGTGATCACTATTACAGACTTAATATATAAAAATGTATTATTAAGAATTGTGTACCGGAGGGTCTATTTAATTATGTTTATTTTAACTTGAGTACAATTATGAATAATTATTCTTTCCCTGTCATTTTGGTGTAGTTTGTAAAAGTTCAGAGCTTATTAGGACACGAAGACTGGATAAGAGGTGTTGAGTTTACAAAAGAAGGTTAGTGACATGGCTGCGCTGACATCAGGGTTGGAAACTAAAAATTATTTTGGAGCACTCGCCAACTAGGCGAGTGACATTCAAATTGTACTCGCCCAGCCTCCTCTGTAAAAAAAAAAACAACAACAACATCAACAACTTCAACAACAAAAAACAACAACACTCACTGCATAGAAGTTCACTCACCATTGTGCCCTGAAATGGACCTTAATTCCAAACAAAAAGGAAACAGCAGTGAACTTACCTCAAACAGAAGTGTTGAAAATAGAGCTACATAGCTACATTGTATACTGTTACTTTGTTAGATGCCCTGTTTGTTGAAAACTCCCAGAAGTGTCAAATGCCCCAGCCTCCCTCCTATCCACCTGCCGTCTTAAAAATTAGCAACAGCCCTGCATTGCCTTTATTGGCTTGCATTTTAATCCCGAGTTATGTACATTTACTACAGATGAAAAGACTTCTTTTTCTCTTTTCAGATCGTGGTGACCTTCTTCTTGCAAGCTGTGCTCAGGATACATTCATACGAATCTGGAGAGTTTCTTCTGATAACAAAGTACAAGAAGCTGAACCTGAAATCTTGTGTGATAAGATGCCTGAGCTAAAACTGACATCTAATATTTTCTCTGTTGCTGATAAAGGTGTGATAACTAATACTTATTTTAATAATTTAGCACAGTATACAGTGTACATGTATTCAATATGTTTGTAATAATTTTTCATTATTGTCTAGTTGTCACTAAAGATAACTTATATTTACAGCAGTTTTCTTAAAAAAATGAACTTTTAATTGACAGGATTAGAAAGAGAATTTTCAGTAGTGTTGGAATCAGTATTAACAGGACATGAAGGCTGGATTTATGGTGTTCATTGGCATCCTGTTGTCAGGAAAGGTAACTAAACCCTCTGATTTACTGATTATTAATAAATATTATTAGAAATTGCCACTTAGTCAAAATTTTTTTGACATTGGTTTGCCCCTTTTTTCTACAAATTGTTTCCGATGGGTATCAGACATAGAACGTTCAAAATCCGAGGTGTTTTGGAATTAAATGGCATCACGCAATCACTTAGAGTACGTGAGTGACACTTTTCAAATTCACTACTCCGCATCAAGACTTTTAAATGTTAATGGTTCAATTCTATGTAATAGTCCCATCAAAGTTTTCAATGTTTTATTTAGTATGCAATTATAATTATAATTATAATTAAATAAGTATTGTCAAAAATACTTTATTGATTTACAACAGTAGCAGGATCTAAATGTTTTAAGTTTCCTGACATATTATTACTACTTCTAAGAGTGCCTTTAGCTTTTTTCCTTGGCATTTGGTTTAGTCTGTTTTCTAATCCTTCCTGTGGTACATGTACATGTATATTGAAATTTGTCGTTATTTATTAATAAATTATTATATTTTGATGTCAGATGATGGATCCATCACACAGCCAATGTCACTGCTCACAGCATCAATGGATAAAACATTAATAGTGATGGACTGTACAGTTTTTAAAATAAAAGGAGGATTCTGGTGTGTGGTTAGAAAAGCCATATACATGTGTTTTGCAATATAATGTCTAGTTTCTGCTGGATGATGAGGGAATCAAGATAATAATATAACCCACAATTGAAAGCTAAGAAAAAAACACATGGACCATCATGTCCCACATTGGTCCCGGAAGAAAAAGTTCTCTTTTTTTAAAATAAAACCAAAGCTTTTTTTTTGACCTTTATCTTTCTGTTCAAAATATGAGTTGGGAAAAATGGACCATCTTTGCACATTGGTCCCACAACTAAATGATAAACCCTTTATTTACCAAGCTTTTTTGGCCAAGATGACTGCATGACCTTAGCCTCAATCTTTCGGTTCATAAAAATGCAAAAAATCAATGAATAAATCAATCAATCAATAAATAATTAAAATAAACTCATCACCAGACATCAAAAAGCTTGCTCAAAAGCACCATATGGTTTTTTATTAAATAAAGGGGACAATGTGGAAAACCTTCCCAGCAAGGAATGTCCACTGATTTTATAAATGGCTGATGCTAGAAGACTGTGAAAAAACTAACAAACCCTACAATGTAGTTTCAACAATGTATAAATTATAAATCCCCTGTAGGTTCGTGTTGGTGAGGTTGGTGGTACCACCCTTGGTTTTTATGGTGGCGTGTTTAGTCCTGATGGTCACTCTATCTTGGGTCATGGCTACCAAGGAGCATTTCATTTATGGAACAATGTCACTCATGAGGTACAATAACTGTTCTTGTATGTTGATTAATCTATTAGCATGGTAATTTCAGTGTTAGTGGAGTGAAGAAATATTTATCAGAAGTGACTTTGAATTTTTCAAAGTTTTGTCTTTGTTGGAGTTCGTCTCTAGAATGCATTAGTGTGTACTTGTATTAAGTGGTGCGAGACTGGTTGTAATTTTTGAATTTGTTGCTAATTGTTAGAGTGAGAGCAGATGGGAACCAGGAGTGGCTGTCAGTGGACACTTTGGGCCTGTTCAGGTGTGGTGATGACAATCTTAGTTAAATACTAATTATAATAGTTTATTATTTTTGAATTGTAAACAAGTTTAAGCAGAACAAGTTACTTATGTTAACAACAGGGTAAGAGTAAGAGTACAAAATAATGTTGGATTTTTGGTCAGCTTTTTGTCCCCAGAACTCTCAATCACACCTGTACCAATCTTTTGGCATGTATAGGTGCTGAAAAAGACTAAAAGGAATTAGGGTGTGATTATGTTTTTTTTTTTGTTTCGTTCATACACATGTATAGCGTAAGAAATCTGATTGTTAATAAAAATCTGTACAATGTACCTACATCTACGTGTCCGTAATTTCCTACCCTTTGTCCAAGCTAAACCACTGTAACCTTTTCACTTCTATAAATTCACAGAAAGTCCAGAAAGTTTTTGAGAAATCCTTAGAAATAAATAATATAAAATGTACATGTAGCACCACGCAAACAATTCTGTCAAAGAGGTTTTATTTGAGTAGTTAAACCAAAGGATTTTTCTCACCAGTTTAAAAGTGAGTGTGACACAATTATTATCATCGTGCCACACTTGGTCTGGGCGTAAAAGGGATATTAGTGAGTGCTCAAGTCAGTCTATATTTATTAATTTTATTGTAGGATATTGACTGGGATCCTGTTGATGGACAGTTTCTTGTGAGTGTTAGCAGTGATCAGACTACACGATTACACGCTGCTTGGAAACAAGATGGATTACAGGTACATGTAAATATAGTGGTACTCTCCAAATGACCACATTCCAGTCAAACAAATGTCCCAGATCTAACGTGCCAGTAACCAGTTGTTTCTTCTATTGGCAAATGCACTCCTAAGAGACCAGACATTGTCCCTTTGAGAAGTTACAACGAATGATTCACCCCATGCTATAGGTCTAGCGTCAAACACCCTGCCCGAACCAACAACCAGGGTGTTTAAAAAACTGGTAAGACCATGCTGGCTGTGATTTAAGATCTTGTCTCAGTTCAGAGGATCGCGTCATTGGGCGGTGACTTGAAGCCGTTAGCCTTGTCTCGTTCCTCCCTCTTTCTTTGGTCAAATCAAAGGGGACGTAAAAGACCCCATACTACTCTTCGAAAAGAGTAGGGACGTTTCCCTGGTGGTGTGGTCCACCTTGCACGTACAATTCGTATTATGAGCTGGGTGCGGGTGGGTTACATTGAGCTCATAGATGAACTGATAGCGGCTGCCAGTGGCGCTCTTGTGTGCTGACGTCCGAGCTTACTGTTAGCATGTAAACATTATTATATTGTCAGGAAGACACGCCTGTTACCTTCTCATTCATGGCATATCACTCATACAAAATACATACCTTCTCACAACTGGAAGTGATAACATCATTAGTTATGTGCCACTTTCCAACCAAACACAGTAGTCAGAGCGTTGATGTGTATTGGACCTTTTAGTGGTTACCTTTTAGTGGTTAAAGTATAGCAGTATATTGTGAAATAACAATGAGCTGCTATCGATGTTGTTGGTTTTTCATGGTATTGTTCTCTGCAGTCCGTGTGGTGTGAAATAGCTCGTCCACAAGTTCATGGTTATGATATGCAATGTTTGAGCATGCTCAGTAGGTACAGACTGGCTTCTGGTGCAGATGAAAAGGTAAGTGTACATGTATTAAAGATGGCTGCATTGATTTTGTTCTTTGAATTGTTTGCACTTTTCCTTTCGCCATTAGCGAGTCTGGTTTTGGTTCAGTTGGAATCAAACTGAAAAACAACCATTCTAAAACTTAAAAACATGTTACGTCTGTTTCTTTAATACTAATAACGTTTCAATAAAGCGTGAATTCATTTTGCCACTCCCCTCATTAAATTATACATCTGACTCTTTAACTACAGGCACCTTAGTTAATTTCCATCACCTTTTTTTAAATCTTTAATCCCCATTCCCCGAAAAAAGGTCAAATATTAATGTTGTGGTTCAATTTATCCTTGGTTTAAATTATATTTCCGCTTGTTTCAAACTCTTTAAATCATGAATTGCAAGTACTATACTCAAAAGCAGAAAGAATGGGCGTAAAATCAAGGATAAAGATTCATTGTCTCAATTTTTGTTTTTTACAATGGTGTAACTGAATGTGTATAGTTTGGGCTCATTGCAGGTATTAAGAATATTCACCGCTCCTCGCCAGTTTATGGAGACGTTTCAAGGACTTTGTAAAGTTCAAGAAAATAGCAAGGCATGTTCTGGTCCATTGTCATATTTTTAGACTTTCTCAAAGTCCTTTGCTTCTCATTTCCGGTTCCGGTAGTTGGCCCCAGCGCGAAGCTCGCTCTCTCGCTCGTTTTTTCCGCAGAAAACATAAAAAATCTACCGCTCGCGCTTCGCGCTCGTAAAGAAATCGAGATCAACTTGTAGGCAAGTCTATCATATCTCCTACATCCCACCTGGCGGGCAATGAGGTCGAGTGTTTAGCGCACGCGTGGGACTTGCACTGCAATTCTTGCAATCATGATCTGTCGATACCCAACCTCGTCCAACCTCGTCCGAGGTTTGTCGATACCGAGTTCGTCCGACCGTTGGTTGGTCGAGTCGAGTTAAGTTGGGGCAGTCCCAGATGGGGTTTTTAAACATTTTGGACGGGATTCAAGGAACCCAAAAATAGATGGCAAATTGATGAAATTCGCTTTGCTTTGATAAAAAGAAATCAATAATTAATTAGATAGCCGTCGCAGATTGTGATACTTATGTTCTTAAGAGCTGACCTCTCATTCAAGAAATAGATTCGATGAAGTTGGCTAAACAAGAGATTAAAATCCAATTTTGCTCCATGCAGATTCAGAACAGTTTACCTATTGGAGCCAGTGTGCCTGCTCTTGGACTTTCAAACAAAGCTGTTTTTGACGGTGAGTATTATCTTACATCTTAGTTGTTAAGGGTTTCCACCGGGTACTGTGGTTTTTTCTTCTTCTTAAAAAGCAATTCTTTCAAGTTACAACTCGATCTTGAATGGGCCTTTTAATAGCTCTTTAATGTTGGTAAAGAAAGATAATTTACTTTACTTTTTTGCTGTTACAACTCTTTTTGTAGGTGACTTGGATAGCTTGAGAAGAGACCTTGAAGACCCAGCCAGACCGATGAAGTCTTCAGCTTTTGCGAGTGAAGAACCTGCCCCCTTTACACCTGTCTCATTAAAAGGTTTGGCCAGAGTTCCTGTGGCGTGAAGCATGTAGTAGTGGCGATACTCACCCAGAAGGGATATGAGGCCGTCGAGCTTTGGGGGCTGAAGCAACCACGAGTTGAATTTTTTAAGGATTGTGTCCAAGTTCATTTAAGGATAAAAAGCAACGCTATTAAAACATGACGTTTCGGCGACGTCACCATTATCAAATGCAAATAAAAGATACTATGAGACGATATAGGAAACGATGGTGTGAAACACAACATGAAATTTGAAGAACAAAAGAATGAAATAGTGAAGTGTAAATTTTTTTGGAATGGAATCGGTTGAGTGTTTAGGGTCAGCCTCTTTTCCTTAATTAACAACATCTCATAAATGAGGCACTCAAACTTTCTTCGGCATTTCTTAAGGATCTTAAAACATTCTCGGAGATTAGTTGGCTCTTTTCGGTGTTTTTCTTTGAGGTTTTTGCCAATTACGGTGTCCAAATTCAAAAGGAGAAAGTTAACAAGTTACAAGCACTTACGTACATTCTCGTTAAAGTTGTTTTAGCAGCCATCGAAGTCAGAGGCCTTTTTGAGGTTTCTAAATTTAATACTTTGGAGATGAGGTAATTTTTACTGATACTTATTTTCTTGATCGTCAAACAGAACCCCCTACTGAAGACATATTGCAACAGAACACTCTATGGCCTGAAGTGCAAAAACTGTGAGTTAAAATTCTGTTTTTGTACAATAATCTTTAGGATAAGGAATATGCCAACAAATCGATGAACAGCAACAACAACGGCAACATTATCGCTTACTTATATAACTTTAACGAGGGAATTTTTATCCAAGTGTATTGTTCCTTTGTTGCTCCTTAAGTAATATGCCACTTCCGAGATCCAAAAACCCTCACTTTCAAAATAGGGCTAGGTGCACAACCTTTCTTGTGAAAATGAGTTTTATTTGCACGAGGATGAAAAATGATTTCCATATCATAGCACCTACATATCTGAGCACCTACCCTCGTTTTGAAACCGAGGTCTGGGGGAACTCGGAAATGGCCTGTTGGAATAGCGTTGTTGGCATTAAAGTTGCGATTTCATGTACATGTAGTTTTTTTTCCCTTTTCGGCTGTACAGATATGGCCACGGGTACGAAATATTTTGTGTTGCGTCAAGTCCGGATGGCAAATTACTAGCTTCTGCTTGTAAGGTTTGTAGTTGTCCTTCTTTTTCTCCGCAACTGACATTGGTTTGAACAGTGAAAGCAGCATCTTGCTTAAACATTTATTAGCAGTAAAGTTATCAAGTAATTTTCCACGCTACATGTAGGCATCGATTGCTTGTATGGCAACGTGCTCGATACCTTTTGTGTGTTTTCACGCGCTTGCTTCTGGTTCCATGCGTTTGTATCATTTCTGCTTCAAATTTCGGATTGTTTTATCGGGACCGGTTGCCTCTGGTAGTGTGTAAATCCTTAATTCTTGACATGATTCAATCAATCAAATTCAACAGCACGATGAATTAAAAAGTGTTTCTATTTTCTCTCTCTAGGCATCAAAACCGGAACACGCAGCGTTAATATTATGGGATACAGCAACTTGGAGGCAGCTATGTTCACTTTCCTCTCACACACTCACAGTTACACAGATAGCTTTCGATCACAGCGGTCATAGGCTACTCTCTGTATCACGTGATCGATGTTGGTCTGTTTTCAAAAGAAAGGATGAATCTGAGGAAGGTCTGTAATCGCTTTTAATCAGTTTGATACATGTTTAGGGGAAAGTAAGATTTAAATTTCAAGTGACAAATTTGACAAGGACTCAAGTGTATTTGTCTGTTATAGGCAACATTTATATTAGTTAGAATAATTAAAGAAAGGGCAGTCCAAATAACGCTTGCTGTATAGAAAGAACATGGCAACAGCATACTCACCTCTATGTAAAGATCTCGTCTTCAAAATATTTGCCTCTTCCTTGGAAGTTTCAGGATATGATGGGAAGTTTATTATTGCGGACAATTTTCATGTTATAGTTGTCATCTGCTGTTGCTATGGCGGCTTTGAAGCGGTAGTAGGGCTTTTTCATGCATGTTTTGCGCTTGGAGATATTTTTTACCGATCAAACAAAAATATTTGGCTAAGGTTTCCGTTTGATAATGCAGAATCAAGCAAGTGGAGGAGGGTCGGCCTTGGTGGATAACACTGTCCTCAATTAGCCTTGTACTATAGGCTCCTTGGTTTGGAAAAAGGCGAAAAAAAAGGGCGTGAAGGAGGTGGCGAGCGACGGATACCGAGCCAAATCCAATAATTGCTAAATATAGACATAACGATCTATTATTTTCCAGGACCCCTTTTTAGATTAGTCGCGCGGAGTGACAAAAAGAACCAGCATGCGAGAATAATCTGGTCATGTGCCTGGAGTTCAGATGGCAAATACTTTGCTACTGCGTCAAGAGACAAAAAGGTAACCCTGAAATTTCGAGATGGTCTTTCTATCTACCATTCTGACAAGTGAGTAGGTTATGACATCAGCCTTCGCTGTACTGATTTGGTTTTTTGTATTGATTAGGTTATTCTATGGGGCGATGTTAACCTTCCCCAGGACAACTGGCAAGCTGTTTCCAGTTCTTTAGACGTGAGCGAACCGGCCACCGCAGTGGATATTTCGCCTGTAGTTACCAGTAACTGTAGGTAAGTCTTAAACATCTATGAGATGAGGAATGGAGAAGAATTCATAATTATGTTGTTGTTGTTGTTGTCTTATTTTTCTTTTCATCGGTAAACAAAGACACCCGTAGAAAAGCTATGCTGTTTGAATCCTAGCGTGCTTAAATTTTACTCTTCAGATGTCTTTTATTTTGCTGATTTTTTTGCTAGTTGCCCTAATTAATGTACTAATTGAATGCTAAGCGAGAGGTCAGTCGAACAAAATGGCGTCCCTAATTTTTGTGTGGATTTTGATGACTTGTATGTCGTATTCTTTACGCTAGATATACTGTTGCTGTTGGTACCGAGTCTGGTCGTATCGCTCTTTACTCTTGGTATCTAAATGACGATGGCAGTCAGTCTGGAGGCTGGAATCTGCTGCATGCTTTCGACCAATCGTATCCTCTACATGTATACATTGTAGAAAATAGCAGCAACTTTGCGATTCTATACATCTCGTTTTTGCAGGATTCTTAAACAATTAAAGTGAAATTGTGGATTCGGGATTCGGTACTTTAAGCACAATTAGCTTAGGTTTCTGTTTCCGGTAACTACTATAAGAGCGTCGCATCCCACCTCTCCCCGGTCCATTCCCCGGTCCCCTCCCTCTCTCCCTCTTCCTCGCCCAGCCCTGAGTTGGATGCAGGTCCATCGCTGTGTCCTCTGACACTATTTCACCCGCATCAGTTAGCCTACTGTGGATGGATGTTCCTTGTCAGAACAACCCACAAAGACAATAGGCCAGATTCGAAGTTTTAAAATTCATACCTGGCTCCGAAGCTGTGAGGTAAAATACAATTCAAAATCGCATTGAGTTTCAGGGCTTAGTAATTCATTTCTATTGTTTTATTCCCCAGGAAGAATTTTGATAAATCGATTCTGGCCTAACCCTGAAATAACTCGGAAATAGCAACATTATGAAGTACTACGCTGGTACCGCTGTGTCAATCTCGCTCCGCCTGTTGCAGGCCTAGCCTTTATTTTAGTTGTCAACATGATTGTTTTCCTTACATCAAGTGGCTTATAATGTACAGGATTTGTCACGTGCTCACAGTACGTCGGTTGCGATGGAGAAGAACTAGTGAATATGAAGATAACTCTTGTTTACAGTTGGCAAGTTGCAGCTTGGATCACAGCGTTCGGATATACAATATCGACATTACTAGTTGACGAACTGTGGTCATGGAACTGTCTACGTGCAATTCCCCAGTTCAGGCTTGCTCTAGGGAGAATGGGCGCAAGTTTTGGGTTTAATGATTTTTGGGATCGAATGGGTGAACAAACTTTAGTTATGATTGGTTGATGGATGGTTTTCAAGGCAACCCTTTAACCAATCATAAGTTACCCTTCTCCACCCAAACGATCCCAGAAATCGTTGCGCCGAAAGCTTTAACCCGAATGGGAAATACTAAGAACGCTTGTCTTCCATACACAAACAAGATCTGGGCTCACACCGTTAGAAAACGCTGAAAAATTGTAGGGTCTTTTAACTATACATCAACATCTGATTATCGCCACGGGACATTCATTCATTCGAGCGGCGCTTTTACCCTTCACTCTGCGAAAAGCGATCTGAATAACACTTTCCGTCCGTTCCTAGTAAGTTATCCTGCAGAATTCAGATTACGCCTTTACAGTCTCTGTGTTGATTGGATAGAAGAGCAACAAACTTGAGTCCAGTGAAAAGTACGGTGTCTTCTGGTTCAGTGTCAATTCAGCATGCTAAGGGCAGATGTGGCCTGGAAACGATGTTAATTGAGCGAGGAGGTGTGAGATTGATTTAAGACGTTTATCCTGAATAAAGCAATTCAAAGTCAGTTCAACGCAATTTTTTTCTTAATTAGACCCTGAGGATCTTTTCTCACGTGACGTCTCTACGAGGCCGTTTGAGTAGTGGTCCCAATTAAGGCCTCGTTATAGCAGAAGCTACTGTATTCTTCCGTCAGACTGTTTGGTTATCGCCCACTTATCACTTATCACTTGTGGTAGTGTGTTACACCTCATGTTATTGGGAGACCATAATAATAAACAAGGTTAAACATGTAACATGCCAATGCAAAAGCCCCTCAGGCGTCAAAAGATTTTGACATTGCTAAAGAACAGCAAAACGAAGTTGTGACCCGTTGACCTGTCCACCAATTAACTCGAGGGAAGTCTTGTGCGCCCCTCACAAAACGCCTGTGGCACAAGCTAACTTTTTCGGTTCTTTAAACACTGTTTGTACAATATTTAGTGCTTGGATTGACTGAAGGAAAATTTTAAACAGAAAAGTCGGCCATAAGTAGCGGGCAGTCCAACATAGGGTAATCATAATCATAGAACAAGGTCACTGGCTGAGGTTCGTGTGGAGGCAAAGTCCCAACATATCCAAAATCTCTTAGCTTCATGCTGGCTTCCATTTCTTCCTTGTCGCCTGTCTCTCTTGGTTGGTAAATTCGAATGTTTAACGTGCATGGTCCTAGCTCCCGTTTTACAATCAGTGATATTCCATATATGGAGATGTTGGAGGGGACTTGGGCACTAATTTGACCTGGTAACGAGGTAATGTTCTGAAAAGGCAGACCGCGCAAGTCCAGCATAATGTACCTGCAGGAAGGAAAAAAAAAAAAAAGAGAAATACGAGAGATCAGAAAGCACCTGTGTTTCGGCAAACCCCGGAAGAAATGAATGCGTAATGAAATTTCCGTCATTTTTCACCTTTGCTGTTTTCAATTTCACGGTAGAGTAAAAATGGGTTTTGGGCGTTAGATACATTAGGGATCGTATGCTTTCAATCTTAATTCTGCATTCAATATTTTATGTTGTATATGAAAAATTGCTATGTATTTCACAGCTGTATTCACTAGGCCTAAAATTCACCAACACATGCTTTCATAAATTATGAAGAAATTGATAGAATCTGATCGAGGAATATAATGATCCATCATTCTCCATGCCCTGAATGTCCACCAGGCTTATAGAAGTGATATGGTAAGACACGAGGACGACTACGAAGACGAGATCTGACTTAAAGTGCCGTTTGCCTATTCTGAAAAAATACACACTCCAGAAAGCTTTTAACTTTTTTCACTAGAAAAAAAAATTATTTCTATGGCTCCGGGAGGTTAAGCCCTCTCCAGCCGATCGCTTTTTTATCAAAAAAATTCCAGCATTTTATAACTTTTTTTCCGCCTCTACGATATTTTCGCTAAAACCCGTGGCAGATTGATGGAATAACGACAATTGTCGCGTTTTCCCGTCAAAATGACACGCTGGTTCAAGCGCGCGCACAACTTGTTCTCGTATACGTAGTAGCCCTCGTCTTAGAATGTAAACGGCTCTCTAACAACAACTTATTATCATCAACAACTAACCCAAGGACGTCTTCAACAATGGGTTCCCATAATCCCACATTGCAGTTAGGGCAGGGTCGTAGCTGTATCTGCTGAGTTGGTGTCTCCTCGTTATCTTCTTTCTCAGCCGTCTTTCTGATGCGTTCGCTTCCGAGTTTCAGTCGTCTGCTCAGCTTTTTAAATTCGCGGTAATCAAGTTGTTGGTCGCCATCTGAGTCCAGGGCCATGGCAATGATGTAAATTTCCACTTGAGTTGCCGGAGCTCCTGTTATTACAAAATTTAACAATGTCACTTAAGCAGCAAGTTATTGGGAGCATTTAAGTGCTGCTACTGAGGCCGCAGTTGAGTAATTAGCTTGTAGGCTAAAATAACTATTGAAAGGGACGGACGGAACAGCATCAGGGAAAAAAAAACGAAAAGGCGTTATTCTGACTGATGAGAATTTACAACGGTTCTTTAAGTTGGTGCAAGTTAAGCATTTTTATCAGAGCTTGTGATAGGTGCCACCCACATAGAAACGCTGATGACGCCATTACGACCCAATAGCAGGGCGGATTTTTTTTTTCTTTTGTCACGGTGACGCGTGACGTGCTGACAGTTGTACGGTAGTTCCAATCCTGAAAATGCGGGTTACAGACTGATCTGTTGCTTCAAGTGAAAAGGGATACATACTATAGTTATTCAAAACTAAAATACTTTTAAAGTTTTGATAACTTCACCATTCAAGAAGCTCCACCCGTGACCAAATTAAATGAGTTGTTTATATGCTATTGTTATCTGCTAACAAGTTCGTGAATCTAGTGTATGTGATAATAGTTAAATTAGGTTTTCTGTTATTTTGCTTTTTTAGCGAAAGATCACTGACATGTATATCAGTGTTTCTTACCTAATTCCCTCATGCCATCGGCAAACTCTTCGTACGATAGTTGTCCGCTGTTGTCCGAGTCAAATCGGCGAAAAAGATCAACCATTCGCCCATAATTTTCACTCATCCAGTGAAGCATACGATGTTGAAAGTCGCGAAAAACCGTTTTGTTGAGCGACTTCGCTTCGTTGTTAACGGAAGGGGAAATACTCTGTTTGAGAAAGACATGAAAGCAAAGTTGTTGAGAGATGAAGTGTTAACATATAGCACCGATTCCGATCAGATAACGACGGAAACATTGCTGTTCGCTGGACAAGGTGTTGACAGAGCATCAGTCCTAGTTTGATTATGTAACTGACGCTTTTTTTTTCATGAATTCAAACGCAACTTCATTCAGACACTTAAACTTAAAACAGTGAAGTAAGTGATGTTTCAAAAATAGCTTATTCTGGCCGAAAGTCACTCGAGCACTAGTATATACCTAGAAACGAAACAAAACATGCATAGAAAAACGATGCTAGGTGAAATGAAGAAAACAAGGCAAAAAAATTATGCATATAAACAAAAAAAACTGATAAGTTCACCTCTTCCGCCATTGATATCTTCGTCCTTTTAAGCAAATTTTTTTTTGTTCAGTTTTAACAACAAGGTGTTCTAATGATGAAATTGTAATGTGATTCATTGCGCTAAAAGCATTTTTATCCACCACATCCAATAAAAATCAAAGCTTTTACTGCGCGAAAAGGATTTTGATTGTTGCGGTTTTCTTATGTTTGTGTTTTGCTGATCGTAAAGATAATGTTATGAAGCTGATAATGATTCTGCAAGAAAATTACATATAAAACCTACCTCCGATTAGGTGAAAAGTGTGAGGTGAACTATAGTTTGAGGTTTTCGTAAATGAGTTTCTTTTTACTGGCAAAAACACCTGCGGAAAGGTTTTTGCTGAACTCGGCTTTAAAAACAAAGATGTTTTAATCACTCAGTCTGTTGCATTAGATGTGGTTTGGTTGCTTTGTAATTTTCCTGTAAGAGGTGACGTAAGTCGATGAGGCTTTTGTCTTGTTAATGGTAAAAATATAAAGCAAGGTGGAAATAGGAACGAATAGGTTCTGTTAATTTTTAAAATTATTGCTTTTGTTTGTTTGTACGTGTTTTTTGCCTCTCATTTTTCATCCGTTCAACGCAAGCAATACCATACGACTCACTTTTAATTTTTGTCTTGTTCCTTATAATAACGAGTTTAAGTAGGCAATTCGATACAAATGCTTCCGCAACCTACAGCGTCACTCCATAACCAGAGGTCGAGGGTTTTATCCACGGGACGGGACCAATAAGCAGGATCTAACTGGAAAAGCGAATAGAACTCTGCGTGTCCCGAATGACCACATGAAATATAGCTGGAGAGTCCAACAGGGATAGAGAACTTCCATCGCCTCTTTTCTATTGGCAGCCCATGTCACTGAGGCTTCCCAAAAGGAGCTAGTAGCGCGACCATTTGATTTCCCAGCCCCAATTTCCGGTTTCACCTTGTAAATGATAAATGCACCTTGTCTCAATTAGAAGACGTTTTTTTTTTGAAACAGTCACCTCATTCAGAACTGTCCTGTTAAAAACTTGGACACTTAAAAAGGGGTTGTTTAAATTTGATAACGTTTCAGTTATCACTAAACCAGTTTTCTACATTAGAGTTGGAGAGCGTTTTGCATTTACCAAAAACTTTGGGAATCTTCTATGGAAAGGAGAAAAACGGGTTACATTTGTTCCCTTCTCTCACCAGATATCACCATGAAAGCCTGGAACTAGTCTGTATCCTTGTAAGGAACTCGTAAATGGAACACGCATTTCCCCCGATCAACCGGAACAGATTTCAGCGTAAAAGCATGTACTTTTTCAAAGCTCCACATATTTCTGGGAGTTCTCCAGTAGAACGCACAAAAACAAAACAGGTAGCTGAAATACGCAGAGGTTTACATTAGCAAGTTTACGCAACAGGACAGAAGGAGCAAGAGGACGGCAAAACGCTTGTGTGTGACAAACGTGACAGGCCTAGTACTTATATGTATTGTCGTGATCTTCACTTAACGTTCATGTTTCCTGGTCTTTTACAAAAATGAAGATCTGTGTAAAGAAAACTGATTAAAAAGATTGAGGGAAATTTTATTCCAACAAAATTATTGTCACGTTTGTCACACAAGGTTTGCCGTAATTTCACTATTATCACCGCGCGCCGTTTCTCACAGAATAACGATTTCGCGAAGCAGGCTACTCGTAAAGTGTGTTGAGAATTAAACAATTTGTAATTCCCTCAGTTATTTTTGTTTGTTTTTTTTTTATCATTACTATTATTTTCCAAAGTATAAACGTAAATCATTGCGTAATCAATAGACGCCAAGCATGTTCCTAATATACGGAAAAATACCGTTATTTTAATAAGTAAATTTAACAAAATACTGAACTTAAATAAATTCTATTATTCAACATCACGTAAACTTTGATAATTGTACCCGGTCCTTTTCGTTGTAATAAATGTTATAACGTTCATGTGTGAAATTCATTAAATGGACGTCGGTCAAAATATCAAAGCTGGTCGAACCGAAATAATAAATTAAACCAATTTCCCGGCTAGGTTATAACATTCCTCTTGCAAATTAACACGTTTTATCATTTATCTAACCGTTATTTGTTTGTTTGCTTTTTAAAGTTAAAGCTAGTTTTCACCAGCGACCGAGTCGGAGTCGTTGTCAGAAACGATCTAGTGAAACTCTTCTGCTTCCGACTTTCACTAGATCGTAAACGACGGAGTAGTATGTAATGGAAACGTTCTGATTCCCCCGACGCGTATTCCGTCGCGCTTATGACTCTGCTTACGGCTCCGATTTTTGATTTTCACAAGGTCACAATCGTTCTTACGGCTCCGCTTACCATTCCGACTCCGTCGCTAGTGTTCATTTTTCATTCAAAGTCCCTTGAAATTCCACATCACGTTATACAAATATAACTTTTATGTTATGCCTGTACAGTACGGGGATCCATATGAGTATAATCGTTCATGTAAACAAGTAAAGAAGCTCTTTGTTTGTTTGTTTTTTTTTGTTTTTTGTTTATCAAGTATACTTCATTAAATAATACGCCTTACCAAAAAGGACTACACAGGTAGGATATACCCAGTCAATAATTACTCAGTACTATCAATATGTCACGAGCAAAATTAACATACTTGAACTCTCACTTTTGAGGGTATGCACTGATCACTCTAGGCTGAACAAAACGGCATTTAACATAGCATGCGGGAGCCTTTTCATGACCTAACATCTTAAATAGAAAACTAAAGAGAGACCCAATACAACAGAATTACAAAACAAACTGTAGTCCAAAATTTAGAACTCTTCAGAGTTCCTGGACGCGCCGCATTGCTCTGTCCACTTTAATATCCAAGCTAAGCATTCTGGGCATGCGCGTTATCAAAAAAAAAAATGCTCTGCATTCTGGGCATGCGCGTAATAAAAAACTCATATGATAAACGCAGAACTGGTAGGTCTGAATTTTCTCGACTTCTTCCGGAAGGACAACCTGCCAGGCCCGAAGCACGAGAATAAGTTTGATTTCTTTTTACTTTCTTTTACTTCCTGCAAATCGATCACAGTGGATGTAACCACGTGATCCCCATTAGCTTCAGCGAGATTTGCACCATCCGTTAAAACCGCTGGGCATTCCTCACTAATGGAGGCTCCGTCTGGGTCACGTGATAGTAATGGAACACTGTTGGTTTTCACGTCGTCCAGATCATTCTCAGCGTCGCCTAGCCAATCAGATTCACGATATTCTTCATCGAGCATAGGTTCCTCTGATAGCCTGTGTAAAGAAAGAGATGAAAACTGTCACGCAAATTCTACATAGCATTCCACAAGTCCTGCGGGCAAATGAATATCCGTGATGTGTATTCACTACGGCCCTACCCAAAAGTATTCGTTTTTTTTGTTCTTTTCTTTTGAAAACTCATTTTCTCCTTCCTTATTTTGAATTTTTTTTTTCCGGTTTTTAATGATACGGATAAGTGTGGAGGGGACCTGAATTTTCCTCCCACAAGGCTGCTGGCTGGTACATGGGAAAAGCTGAACCTCTGGTTTGAAAATCAAATGGTTCGCGCCATTCCGTTTGGGGAGCTTCAGAAGACGTCGGTTGTCATTTGAGAGGGGTGCAATCTTTTTTAACTCTATTTATTCTGTCCAGCTGATTTGGAAATATATTGTCGCGGGTCCTTCTCCCGCCACGTCAAATTTTATAGTTTTATGTTTATTCACAAGATTTATGTCCATCCCGGTAGTTTGTGTAAATGGTAAGCACACCTGGATACTAGGGATTTTCGCGCTCTGTAAAAGGCGACTTCGCCAATGCAAATTCGGGGTAGTAGTTATTTGGTTATATTCCCCCTGGCAATGACATTTTTTTTTCTTCCGAATATTAACTTGTCAAGTACGGCACTCCCCTCTTAGTTGGTCTTAGTGAGACATTCTTAAGACCACAATAAGCTTAGAACGTTAGGAGTGTTTAACTTCGGTCCAGTTCCCACAAATGCGTTTTCAAAAGTATGCATTTTTGTTGTCATCGAAAACGCATCGATCGACTGTCCACACTAAAGCGTTCGAAAACGATATAATTGCACGTTGTGACGTCAGTAGAATTCTATGCGCATGCCACAAACACACCAGCCTGCCATACTTTTATCGTTTTCATTTTGATGTGTTTTCGACAGTCCACACTAATACGATATGTATGCGTTTTCCGTGATCCACTTTCAAGAGCGATTTCAAATTGATGCGTTTTCGGTGGCAACGCTCAGCGAATTAGTGTAGACTGAAGGCCTAAACGTGTCGAAATGCACGCGTTTTTAAACGAAAACGCCCAAGTGTAAACGATTCTTAAACACAAGCACTTGTCATTTTTTACAGTAATATTAGCGTGCGAATTCAGTCAAACGGGAAGGGACCTATATTTCGGTAAAAAAAAAAAAAGAAAAATGAAAAGAAAAAGTAACAACTACATACATATCGGGCTTTCGGTGCAACAAGAATTGTGAACTTATCATACTCAAGAGAAAACCACAAACGGCAAGAAAACAATGTATGTACCCATGATGGTCTCACCTGGATGTGATTTCATTTCTACTTGTTTGACATTCTTTATTACTCAACTGTATCTTGATCGGAGGATCAGTTATTACTGCAGCTTCTAAATAAATGATACAAAATTATAAATCAGTTATCTAGAAGGTTCTTTCACAGGGATTTACCAGCTGTCCCGTACCCAAAGTAAAGGACCAATACGCGGGAAGAGACACTAGGGAAGTGCGGCCACGAGGACTCATTCAAACCACCCTCGTTTACTTGAGCACCCCCGACTAAATATTGTTCAAAACAAAATAAATAGATAACTGTAATTGTGCGAGATCTTGCGATATCCTTCCTATTAGGCCTTCGTATTGTTAAAGGTTGATAGAGATTGTGCTTATGGTCTAAATTCGTATGGAAGTTTAACTCATTTGCAGCATAACTGTATTTTCTTCTTCTGCCAAATGTCAACGGGCAAATGTTTAGGCTTCTTAGTAGGCTATACGCGTACGCTGCAAACGAATCTACCTATTATAAACTTTTTCCGAGTTTTTATTTCGTGCGTCTGTGCTAAGTTGACGTCACGACTTGGTGCAAGTAAACTGTTGGACAGCGGGCTAAATTGGGAGCGTATTTTGACGAAAAGAGACAAGAACTTGCTACGCGCATGAAAGCAGAGGTCCACCGCAGGAAAGATCTAAACGGGAAGCCCTTTTGAAACTACCCGCGCGCAACGCTTTGTTTTCTCACGCGCCTCAAGTAATATCAATGATTACATGTCTTTTTACCTTTTCTTACTCTTCTTTTCGAAGATCGTAGTTGTTCAGCTTCAGTTTGAGTTTCTCGATCAACCTGAAGATATCAGCTAACATGTTAAAGCGGTGTGGTCAAAATTCAAAAGAAAATGGGAAACAATGTTTTCCTTGCAAGTAACGCACCTTTAATGGAGCATGGATAACTGTTGGTAACTCTGTTGTAGTGGTCTCTTTGATCTTTTCCGTGCCCCGCTTGTTTTGTAAAACAAGTATACAGCTCATGACGGTTTTGTTTACCAGTAACAGGTTTACAGCTTCTTCTAGCAGGGGTGGGGTAAGTTCAACATCTTCGTCATGTTCTTCTGCAGGACTGTTCTCATCTGCAAAGTCAAAAAGAGGGGTAAGCATTTCTTATGCAACACTGAATAACAGGTAAAGTTCACGACTCTCCTGCCCAATGTAGCTCTAAACGTTTTTATTCCAACTCATTATCGGTCAAAGCGTCATGTTTTGTAGTCTGAATTGTTAATGAAGAAAACAAAGAATAAATACAACTCACCCAGGCATATTCTGTACAGAAGTTTTTCTTTGACACCTTCAAACAAATGCCTCATGACATGCGACAACTCTGAAAAAGAAAACAACAATAAAAACCTAAATGGATCCGCGTTGTCTTGGCCGTGTCGCATGTCCACTGAACCATCAGAAAAGGAAAAAGAAAATACAAATCCCGGTGCGCTGCAACGCAAGCCAGTAACAACCAAATTGGAACGAATCACCAGCAAGGACTTGCCGACAAATTTGCTTGGCATAATCTAATCACTTATTACAGTAAATATAATTTAAATTGGTCGAACGGAAGTCAAAACAGCAGTTTTGAGCAGTGCCATGCATATAGCCCATTCCCGTCCCGAGATTCGTGCGCATTACCAAAAACCAGTGGCAGTCCAATTGTTCTACATTGCTACTAAGTTTAGCACCTTTATATGTTATTTAGTCTTTGCCTTGAAGGACACGGGCAAAGAACAAGAGATTTTCTTTAAGGACCTCAGCAGATTGATTGTTGTTTCGGTATAACACGAAATTCATGCGTGATATACTCACGACTAATGACATGACGTGGCAATCGTTGATTAGTAAGATCATTACTACTAGGTGCGAAACTTGAGAGACACCATCCTCAGAGACCCAGGGGCAGATAGTGGGGGCGAGGGAAAGTCTAAACGGGCGGAAAAATAAGGCACGAAAGAAAAGTAAAGAACGGCGAGAAGAGCCCCTGGGGACAATGTCTTACCAGACCAGTGCCAGAAAAACACAAGTTTTCTGGCACCAATCAGAAGCCAGAACGGTGGCGACCGTTTGGAACTGGTCTGGTAAGACATTGTCCCCAGGGGCTCTTCTGGCCGCTCTTTACTTTTCTTTGTGCCATATTTTTCCGCCTGTTTAGACTTTCCCTCGCCCCAACTATCTGCCCCTGGGTCTCCGAGGATGGAGAGACACCAACGGGTACGTGAATATTATTGTTATTTACGGTTCGTTTTAACATCTCTTGACTGATTGTAGTTCCTGTCGATATCTTTACGTATAGATCTCGGATTTTTATATCTTCTGTATTCCTGTACATTTTGGACGAAATAAACCATGTGCAGTATTTGAAACCTTGGCGACTCGTAGCTAGCAGTACAGTTGTGATACAGGATTCGAGGTTGACCTGGACCTGGGACCATAAGATCTGATGCCTGGAGCTAAAATAAACAATTTGACTAGAAGTGGGTCTTTTCTCTTGCCGCCTTATTGGAAAACGAGAAGACCATGGGAATGAGGTTGCACAGGTTCGTTTAAGTTTGTCAACGCGTAAAAACTGACGCGCGTATTAAATGTGTGAACACACAGCCTTACACAAAAAATAGAGAGTCAAACATACCTTTGCCCCCAAGGAAAGGCACCTCGACTCCAAACACTTCAGAGAAGAAATTAATCGTTTCCGAGTCAAGTTCGGTTTTTAGGCGACATAAGTCATTTTCCAGATAGACAACTTTGTTCTTCACCGACTGAATCTCGTCGTCAAACCTCAAATCTTTATTTTCCCCCTCTGCAAGCGGCGCGCATGCAGAGCTCGAGTTCCACCGCTTGGCAGGGTTACTGTTGGCTCGATTACGTGCTTTGATATCAATAATTGGCTCATTTCGTTTATTAGTTCCTGAGCATTGATCATAGTCGCTGTGCTGACTACTGCAGCCGCTGTCACTGGGTTTATAGTGGCATGGCGGGCTCAGCAGTTCATCTTCTAAGAAAGATTCCACGCTTGAGTTGAGAACTCTGTCCTGTCCTTTGCGTTGCACGGACTCCATCGATGAAAAGCTTTTCTTGGAATCGGAGTGAAGCTCTAAGAACGAGTTTTTCAAAGGAATGATAGGAACTGAACCAGTCTTTTGTGAGTGGCTGGAAAGCTTAGGAGATGGCGGAAACTGTAGAAGGTATAATTCACGCAAGGAGCCGGTACTTGTTAAAGAAAACCGGCTATCACCTCTCTGTCTGCATCGTAAATTATTCAAAACCAACCCCCCTTTTTCTAAGACGCTTGAGCTAACTGAACGGATGACTTCTTCTTCGTAATCTGCACAGCCGCTGTCACGTGACTGTGAATTATCGGCGCTACAGGCGTGTGACAAATCCTGCATTTGATACAGCAGTTGCAGCGACATTATCTCAGCTAAAAGAACATTATAGAGCGTCTCCGTTTGATTTGCTCCCGGTGGCATGTGAGGAAACTCTGATTCATCGAACATGTTACTGGTTTGAGTATACCGTTCGTGGCTTGGTGACTTGATTAAACGCTCTTCTAACTCAGTGATTCTCTTTTTCTCCTCCTGGAGCGATTTTTCCAGTTTTTCTTGCTCAGTTTGATTTAAAATTTGCGACCGTTTCTTCTTGTCCTCGAGCGCTCTATCGTATTCCTCACTCGTGTTATTTACTCTCGCCAACGAGCGTTGTTTTTCTTTATCAAGAGCATTCTGTAGTCGTTGTTTTTCTCGTTTCTCTTTGCTCTGGATCCGCTGTCGTTCAATGAGTACTGCCGCCTCTAAAGAAGCACTGTGCATTCCTTCCAGAACATGTCTTTGACTTTTCTCGTCGAAGAGCGTCTTTGTTAGATTTTCGTTCTCTCTTTGAAGGATTTGAATCTATAAGAAAAAAACACAAAACACAGTTCATGGATCTTTTCAATAAATTTATTTTAAATAACAAGCCACGCAAATCAACATGCTCTACTTACAATGGTGTCCTTTCTAATTAATGGTTCACCTTTTTTTCTTATGCAAGTCGGCCTTTTACTAGAATACATAATGATAATTTGATATCTACCCAGTCCAGAAACATGAAGTGTTTGGGGTACCAAATACTTCGGTCTGTGTAATCAAACTGAAAAGACACCTCAATTATACGCGGATTGGTTTTATTAGCTAGCTTTGTGTCCTTGGGAACAACTTCGTGGCCTTCTCTTAGAAGCGTTCAGGGATTGACGAATACAAAAGAATGCCGCTTAAAATTAAAAAAATGAAAGATGTTTAAAAAGTTGCAGTCAAACAGTGCTGTATAACAACGTTCAGCTCTATGAAATTCTTACACCCGTGAAACACCCATCAAGTAACAATGTGCTGCACACGGTCATCCGTGGCTAGAACCCACCGAAAGAGGCAGCAGAAAGGAGATAGAGCGATTTGAAAAGCTGAAGTGTGTTTTTACGTTTAAACCCCTGGATTACTCCAGTATGCACAACATTTTTTAACTCGGATATTGAAGAACAGTTGCATCCGTAAAAATGAAGAGTTTCCTCTAACATCTTCAAACTAACCCTTTTCTATTCTTTTGGCAGAGGAAGGTTTTATTTTTACAAATCAGCTGCCATTATCAATATTGTTGGCTAGCAAAAATATCGCATCGCAGGAGATGAAAGGATCAGACAAAAGAAACAATGGGAGCTCTGAAAACATTTAGCTTTGCTGCGGTAAGCTCTACAAATTTTTAACCGCTATTTTTAATGCAAAAATCAATTTTAAAAAGGCTTAACAAGATTTAGTTGAAAACGAAATGATCGATTAACACTGCTCGAATTCGCTTGAATTGAAAACTGTCATGAAATGGCATGCAAAATGGCTTTATTGTGATTCTTATTTTCAAAATGAACCAGGGTTGGGAGCTGGCAGATAAGAAATTTCTTAAATATATTTTCTGGCTGTTAGAAAAAGGTGGCGAGCAAAAGATAAAATTAGAAATAAATCTTCGATTCTGAAACGCAGTAAAAATGAATTCTCTTCGTCATTATTTCCTTATTTTACTCTGTCTCTCTCGCTTATTTTAATCTGCGAAAGTACCTTCTCGGCTTTGAAAAATGTACAATTATCCCTGAATTTCATCAGCCTTATGTTAACGCTTATTTCACTCGTTTCTAGAACAAGTTGTGTTACCTCAATTCTGTGGCGATCTCGCTCGACTTCTAAAAGAGCCTGTAATTCAGCGAGCTTAACGTCTGCATCTGATTTGATTTCGAAGTTCTGCTTTTCGAAATGCTCCTTCTGTGCCTTAATTTCTAACTCTGAAATAAGAATAAATATTAGCAGATTAAGGATATTGTCAAAATATTAACATATGTTGAAAACTTGACTTGAATCACTGGTTAGCTGGTTGAATTAAATATTCAGGGTGAAATTTCCCAAGAGGACTCTCCGTACTTCTATTTCGTGGAGATTTTCTGAGTAATCTTTCGATAAGATTCATTTTCCGGTTAGTAGACTTAGTAGAGGAAGGACGTCCGGGTTTAAAACGTGAGGACTGGAAACCTTCTTCAAGCGATATGTAGTTGGCTCAATATTCTTTCATCACTGACACAGCTATCCGACCGTGAAAAAAACCCAACAACGTCACACGACAGGCCAAATCGCCCCCGAATGTACAAAACTTGTGAGTTTTGAGAGCCGCAACTATACGCTTGTAAAAGTAAGTCACCGTGAACCCTGCTTTAAATATAATATCATTCTCTTTCAGCCTTAGAGCAAAATACCGACATGGAACCCTTTCGAAAAAATGCTGTCAAACAACGACAATTTTTGATGTTTTGTTGACAACTGTCAGAGCCGTGGTCTTCCATTGGCCCTGGTAAAGCATATCAAATTTGCTCGCCTATAACCACGAGACCAATACATCTTGGTAATGACTTCATTGTTTATTCCTAAAGGATCAACTGCTTATCTCGGCACCTGCTTTATCACTTCCAAAACAACACGCCAACCAATCAGATCGAGGCTTATAAAAAGCCAGCCAATCAAAAGCCTTGGTTTACGCCAGCTGTTTTGTATTCAGGACATGTGGAAACAGGCGCAGAATTAATGTAGTTGTAAGCTGCTATACGCACGGTGCCTTATTGTTTTGCGTAGGTGTTCGGAGACGATAATGCTAGTTTCTTGTGGTTCGATTATGATAAAAAAAATCTGCTAAATACGTAAGCTACACTATGGCTGAGTTTATAATTGCCCTGAAACATTTAACATTGCAGGTTTAAGGGAACAACTTTTAATATACATGAATAATAATAATGCCCTGCATACAAACACTGCCGATTCGATTCAATATATTTATACCTATTATTTTACTTAGAATTGAACAACAATCTTTGCTTAGAGCTAAATTGTCAACAGCTCACTTGATCCGCATTATTTTGCGAAAAAGAAAGAAAAAAAAAAGGAAGAAAAAGAAAAAAGAACGAACTTAAATAACCCAACTGCATGCCTCTTCCTTTTTCTTGTCCCTGTGGCCATCCTTGTTCATATCTAAATAAATGCTTTTCTGACAGAACTGAGGGCATTGCTCAGTTTTCCAAAAAAATCATAAAATCTACAAAAACAGGATCAGTTCAGAACCATTCAATTTTCCATGTATAAACAATGAAGTCAGTACCATAGCTCAGATCTATACTTATGCCATAAAAAAAATGATATGAGAACACCATGCGCTATAATGCTCTATCAAAACACTGAGGAGACCGTCAGTCAACATCAGTGGAAATTTTATTCAATATTTATTTTTTGGAAGTTAAACATCTTCAGCCTTCTCCTGCCCCTCTTGAAACAGAAAATACCTCATGAAAATACATGAACGACACTAAAGAGGCACTAATAAAAGAGAAGTTTTATATGTTGATCGTGGGAAGCCGGATGCAATGTTAGGGAAGAGTAAGATTAAAAAATGGACTGGAACTGACTGAATCTTCATACGATTTATTCAGTAGCCCACATATCGCGAAAATAATATATATCTCATGCTGATATACATATTCAAAGAACAAGGTACAAAATACCGACAATTTACGTAATACATAATTTAATTTGTTCCCCTCTTTATCAATGTACAAGGCGATGCTACAAATAAAATCATGATAATCTCATGGTTGTGTCCGCTTATTAAAAAAATAATAATAATAATAAATACGTAAATTGTCGCGAAACTAGATTTCGAGTTTTGACGCTTGGTCGCACACATCTGATGAAAATTAAAATAAAATAAGTAGCAGGAAAGTTGACGGTCATGCAAGGAACATAACATTTCGCGATGTGCCAATATGCTAATGTGATGTTAAAACGTGTGCCATACACATTTCTCTGCAGGGCCACGCTTCAGGATTTATATCACTTTTGGTGGCTAATTCACAGGCTATGAATTAGGATACGAAAAACATGATTGTTTTTTAACTCGGTAAAACTATTAATGAATTGTTCGCTTAAACGTTTCATATAACATACACGTACCAAAAAAATATAATCATATGTTATGACAATAAATATTCTTAAGATGACGTGCAGTGTATTTGGTTTTTATCGCCTCACCGCTGGGATAAGAGACTATTGATTTTGACAACTTCTTCAACACAAAGAAGAACAAGTTGTTAATTTCCCGAAAATGGAACTATCATAGATTTTACGAAAGCACCTTGCTTGTGTTTGGCACTGTTCAGAGCAATACATTTATAGTCAGTGAGCTTAAAATTAATGGCCTATCCTCACTAAAAGGAGTGGAACTAAATGAAAGTTAAACAGAAATTAACAGTTTTGATGAGCTTCATGAAATTCATAAAACTAAGAAGCGTTTTAACTAAGACAACGAAAACACAGAGGTATTTTACCTTGTATTTCAATCTTCTTCCGCAAGTCTTCCGAAAGCCTGACATAGTCAACCTGTCAAAAGAGCGAAATAAAATTTAAGCTAGCGGTTCGTTTCTCTCGTAAATTTTTTAGTCTGAAGTAACAATACCTTGTATAGGTCTAAAAACTTACCAAAAGTCCTTCTTTCTTACAAAGCGATAAATGCAAACAAGAAAGTATAACTTGATACTTGGACGTCAATTTCAAATTAATAACGAAAGAAAGCGACGTAAATTATACTTGCAAATGAAAAGATTTGATCGAAGTCTCGGTGAATGAATCCTGCTGTTGTTGTGTTGAGAGATTCTGCATAATAACTATAATTATCTTTATTTTGTGGCGTGTGTAGTTTTAACGTGACACCCTTCAATAATTAGTAAAATAGGTGTAGTATTCGTAAAAGACTTTAAACAAAATAGCCTAAACGTATTATAACCATTACGTAACATGAAAAATTGAAATATTCATATAATTGTTAAAGATACCTATTAATAAATTTACGAAAGACAATGAATTTTTATCATAGAAGATGTTAATACAACAATTTTGCATGACATTTATAACAATGACCGAAAAAAAGGAAAGAGAAAGAAAAGTTCTGGGAATCCGCCAACAAAAATCCTTGTTATTTTATCACAAGCTGAAGAAGTTGAAACCTTCTGAACCTTTTACAACAAAAAATAAAACAAAGTATTAAAAGGAATAAACAAATTCGTACAAGAAGTTTGCAATTGACCACTCCATAAATACCATAACATACCATAATGTTCTCTGTTTGTCACCCCAAAATTTTGCATAAGCATTGTTTTCAGTTTCTCTTGGGGCCATTTTCACTCCCAAGAGAAACTGAAGACAATGTTTATGCAAAATTTTGGGGTGACAAACAAAGAACATTATGGTATGTTATGGTATTTTCTGGAGTGGTCAATTATGGTAAGCAGCAACTGTAAATGGGCAACCTCATGGAGACCGCATGCCGAAGAAATCAACGAAAAAAAAAACCACCTAAGCAAGGTGATCCTTTCCTGAACAACTGAAATATTTATTATCGACGACAGTAACATCATGCTAAGAGAGCAGCCTGCGAGGTCAGCAGGTTGTTTATGCTTGACCACGTGTTGAGTACTGTTTATACGCTTGCTATTGAATTCAGCCATTTGAAATCAAGCAAGGAGAGGAACGTTAACGTTTACAGCTATTTCGATTCGAGAAAGGTTGGCGGAAAAAATGTGCTCGTGACAATCCCGAAAGGAAATATCGGATATGATCAATACACTGTTTCTTGACAATGCAGCTGACACTCACAAACAGACATGCATGGCCTCTCGTGCCATTCTTTCAGAGAGAAAAACGAATAATCTTAAAACTTGGACTGGAATGGTTGGGGGGTGCATTTTCAAAATTGTTATTGTTGAAGGGGCGGAGGAAGGGTCCATATGAAATTGTTTTTTTTTGGAAGGGTAAAGTTTTGATACACCACGCTTTTCTGAAAATCACCGCTCCCAGGTGGGACGCAATAAACAACCGGTCCCTAAATATAATTCATAGCGAAGAAAAGGAAGAAATAAGTCGAGTAAATATTTAAGTGTCGATAAAAAACTGACTTAGAAGGCTGTAGATTCACAAGATTTCAGATTCACAATCGCAGACACTGACTAAAACCGTTTTTATGCATGCATAAAAATTCAACCCTCCCTCGTCCTACCCCACTATCCCCAAGCCTTACAGTATTTTGAAACAGGTTTATTTAGTTGTCTAAATGGCTCCAGCTACCGGTTTTAACATAAAATACCACTCACTTCCACATTGACGTACGCTGTAGTGGTGATTTTCAGCGCCCGCTGACCGAATGCCAGCGTGCATCGAGTTTCGGTAACGTCTCGCAGCAAAGGTGATATACACAGCTACAATAGAAGAAAAAGTTGTTTTAATTGCTGAGCTGGCACTACGCGGTACGGCTAAATAGAGCTTTTAAACCACCGAGCCAATATCTCAACTGATACTCCCGCCAAGAGCGCCTACCCAACACCTTCCACCTGCGCTGCCTTAGAGAGATTTTGGGCATCACCTAGCAGCACCGTGCCCCAAACATTAAGGATATCCTTGCACAGGCAGGGGTACCTAGCATGTTCGCCCTGCTCAGTCAGAGACGGCTGGCTGGCTTGGCCATGTCAGCCGCATGGAAGACGGGACAATTCCTAGGGACATACTCTACGGCGAGCTTGCCACTGGAACTTCGCCTACCGGAAGGCCTCCCCTTCGTTTCAAAGATGTTTGTAAACGAGATATGAAGGCAGGCAATATCAACCCTGCAGGCTGGGAAGCTGTAGCTACAGATCGAAGACACTGGAGGCTTGATGATAAGGCAGGCATTCAGGCGTGTGAGGAGAGGAGAGCGGAGCAGCGGGATAAGAGGAGAGAGCGCTGACGGCTGAGGGCAGCATCATATCCGTACCCACCGAGCCAAACACGGAATTCATCTGCAGCAACTGTAAGAAGAGCCTGCCGATGCAGAATCGGATTGTACAGCCAAAGAAGGCGCTTCAACTCAATTACCCACTCTCTAAACCTTGGCGCTGATTCCATTGTCTCCAGAGACAGACGGGTGCCAACAACATCAACTAATCGTAAAAGACCAGTGCTAATCTGAACGAAACAAAAATGTCTCTAAAATTTCCACACATCCCGACCTCCAAAACATTTAAGGGAGCAATTAAAAAAAATGAGTGAAATATCGGCTAAGAAGGAAGAATTCTTACCACAAAACTTGTTTTACAGTTCCCACCGAGGCTGTCTTGCAACAGCCGAGTGAGGGGAGAGTTTCGGTATGGAATGTGAGTTCTCTTGCCCTCAGACAGTGCTTGTACTGTGTTTCTGCAGGAGTCAATCAATCAGCGAGTCAACCAATTTCATCTCAGTAAATCAACTATCAACCTTACCCATAATTATAAGGCTGTTAAAGCAGGGTCTGAAAGGGGGGAGGGGTGGGTCTCGTTCATTCCCGCTCCCTTTCCACGAAAATCCCGCGTCCTGAATTTTTTACAAAAGCTATAATAAAAGTTAATGTAAGATGTAGATTAGCCGTTTCGATTGTAATTGTGAATTTGCACGTGTTTTAAGGCCATTGCAAAAAAGAAATAGCTTTTCATGCCTCAGTCTGATTATGAAGCGAAGAGAGAAAAGCGGAAGAAAGGAAAAGGGAGAGTGGAGGCTTTACTCCCCGCTCGCCGGGTTTCAAAATTCGCATTTGCCGCTAGAACGATTAACTTTCCGAATTTCCGACAGACAAACCCCACATCATTAGTACCCGCTATTCGGGTAGCAGTCAAATCCTGTCTCCCGTGAAAAGTTCGTTTTCCCGAATCCCGCACCGTATTTAGTTCAAATCCCGGATCCCAAAAACAACCTTCCAGATACTCTCTTAAAGTAAATCCTTGGCTGTACGAAGTTTTTAGGTGAGTATAATATCGTTTCGTCAATGTTTACGTGACTAATATTTTTTTCCTCACAGTTATGTTTTTATCCTGAAACTGGGAGAAAGGTTAAAAGGTGAAAACTATTGATTTGAAAATTGTTATTGCGAGAAAACAACTTTGCAAAGAATGACAGTCAGCTCGCGGAGAAGACAACAACAACTCACCCTTTCCTTGCTATCGGTTAACAAATTCAAACGTTTCCTCTTAAATTTCCTTGTAAAACACATGGCTTCATTGTCTATTGCTGAGTTATGGATGCATCGCTCACAACAACTCGAGGAATTACGAATAGTTTATTGACGTCATCAGCGTTTGAAGAATTTGAAAAAAATGATGAATCGTTTCTACGTACCCTAATTCTAGCAGAGAAAGGTTAAAAACAGTCGCTCTCCTTTGACAACAACAACAAGAAGCATGAAAAAAAAAATGATGAATGTGAAAACAACAACAACAACAAGCATGAAAACGAAACAACAAAAATCAACGAAAAATAAATCATCAACATCCTCTGTAGTACAATGTGCCCTCAACTTGGAGAACTGAGTGAGTGGTCTTGTCAAGAAATGAGATGTCAGTGGTTTGGGGCGACTGTTACATCCCTATGCCTGAGTAATGAGGAAGCGGGAAGCGAAACCAGAAAGACCAGAGCTTATTTCGGTTTATGTAGTATGCCACGGCATTTTTAAAGTATTGCTTTCCCTCCTCCTTGGATGGCTTGCTAGCGCATCATAGGGTTGCAAATATTTTATACATTTTAATCCAGTAGCAGAAGTCATTATATGGGTCTTATATTTCCAGCTGGAAGCATACGTTGAACAAAAAAAAATTATTTTCTAAAGAACAACTTCTTGGAACGAACAATGTTTTAAAAACTGTTTTTTTTTTTTAGCATTAAGCTCATATTAAAGCCCTAAATGCCTGAAGAACTGTAACGCTGGAGAGCTTGCGCAATTTCAAGACAGTGATAACGGATTATAATAAAGCCAAGTAAAGCTACAAGTAACATGGAGAAAGAGAAGAAGGGACTGTTTCAAAAGTCGCACCACTGTCGTACTAAGCTGGCCCGACGAGAGCACTATAACACTACACCAAGAGACTATAAAGGGGACAGAGACGGCATCCCCCATATACACCCTATTCCATAGGTAATTCGTCTCGAGTTATTCTTAGAATCGGGATAAAGTTACCTTGCACGAGGCGTGGATGTTTCGCGGAGGTTTCGCATGACCAAACGCCGTGCAAAACATGTCGGGCGAGCGGCAATGAAAGCGTAAAAACATCGAGAGCGTTCCTGAATATCGAAGCGAAATGAGTCGGCGCTCACCTGGGAAAAAGGAATCGCTGGACTCTTTGACAACCCGTGAAATCAGTTTAACTCGAAGTTGTCGTAACCTCAGTGCTTTAATAAAATGAGAAATTTCGCCGGTCTATTGAAACCGGTCGTTTGTACAATTTAGGGAGTTTAAGATCCAACGACGCGGACGACAACTAGAACGTCCAAAAAACAATAGGTTTAATTAGCAAAACAACAACTTCGCACGTGCAACACACTTTTTTGTTCATTTCTTTCCCGTTTTTGCACGACTACGACGTGAAAATGCCTAATTTCACGTTTCATGGAGGACGTAAATAAGCAACGACGAAATTTTATTTCTCTTTCTGAGCTTGAATATGGTCCCTTGAAATTCAGCTTTAGGAGGGTTCGCCTACAATTGACAAAGTAAGTGGGTAGGAATAATCGCTATAAAGACTGAAAAAAATAAACATCAAACCAGAAATTGCTCTCTTCAAACTGTAAATTATAAATGATCCTGAGAGAATATTCAGTGTGTAAAGGATTTCCCTGCTCTACTGTTAGCTCTATACAAGGGAGGAAGGGCGATTATTTTTTAATTTCGGTTTCGCTGACACAGCTTTCGCAGAAATCTCGCTGTAGTCGTTTTCGTCGACAAAAGGAATAGCAAAATTGCTCTCCGCGTCTTCCCCCATTTTGTTCTGCGTCATTTCGTGAAGGACGCGTGGCTCTCAGCGTGGGTCATCCACGCGGAACACATTTGCGCTATGTGATTGGCTGTTGTCTAATCCCCCTTGAGATCTGTGGTGTTAAAAATAACTTGAGACGAATTACCTATGGAATAGGGTGTATATGGGGGATGCCCTCTCTGTCCCCTTTATACTCTCTTGCACTACACCTATAGCACGACCTAGTGTCAGACGTCAAACTTAATTCACTCGAATAACCAACTAAGCTGTTGAAAAAAATATACTGAAGAAAACCAAAATGAGAAAAAAGGGTTAAGCCAACTTTTAAAACGTATTCTAATTATTCATGAAGGGGTCATTAGTTCGACACTACAGAACGTCTCATCTGTATAACAAAGTCGAGCTCTGACTGTTGCAAAGCGCGGCAAGGTTGCCGTGTTGTACCTGGAGCTCCTATTGTGTTTAAGTGAGATTTAATTGAGCTGTGTTCGGTACGGTAGCGGAACGACAGTCGAAACGGGTCTTACAGTTGGTGCACTGGCCCATCATAACTGAAACACTAATAAGCTATTAATTTATGCCATTTATGAGTTTACGACTTTAAGGATTCTTACAGGTTAATTTTTCCAATGGTCAGGACATCACTGATCTGGACACCATCCAAGAATGATTCATCGTCGTCGTCATCCTAATAATAAGAATAAGGATTTAACTGACATAACCAGGGTTCGTACAGATTTTCGGATCCAAAATTCAAGACTTTCTCATAAACAGTTAATGATTTATTTTTCCAGACTCAAGGTTATCAAATAGGTGATGAACAAAGACCTTAGAAAACGCATGAACAAAGTTTTTTTTTCATATAAAATGATGCGTTGCAAACGTACTGGCTAGATTGAATAAGATTTAACCGAAAACGAAAAAAATTCACTTATAAAGCAATTGTAGCTTTGAAAAAAAAAAACAGAAGACTTTTTACAATTTATTTCCAGACTTTATCTCTATTCTACAGGCCTGGAAAATTGCTGGGCAAATTTCAAGCTTTTCAAGACTTCAGTACTTTGTACGAACCTTGCAAAACTAATAACTGTATGATGACGGGATATTTGGGCATAAGAAGATTTACACAACAAAAAGCTATACTTTTTCTAATGTTGCTGACATTTCAACTTTTCTTTCACGTAAAAGGTTTAAAGTAGGAAAAGATGAAAATGGAAGACTCATATCACTCGAACCAATTGCAAATCCTGGACTTCCAGGACTTCTCAGCAAAAACAAAGGCAAACCAAACAACAACAAAAAACACAAGGATAACTTAACTTAGCATCAAAATCATGTCAAGGGTCACAGTTGGTAAAAGTTCGGGGCTTCCACGGGACCCGGACCCATGGCTTTGGCGTTAGCGCTGAAGTGCTCTACCGGCTGAGCTATGAAGACCCATACGTTGGAAGCAGGCCAATTTAATCCGTAAAAGGAGTCAGTAAAGAGATTTCAGATCACAACATTTTTCTAGCACGGAGAGTTATAAAAGTAAACCTGTGAATATTGAAGCCTGCGTCGCAGACATAATTTAACTCCGTTTAGTAACGTCTACAAAGCAGCGCAGATACCCTGTTCTGGGTCCCCAACGGACTCAATGAATTACCGGCAGTGTTTTTCAAATTTCTTCTTGACTGGCAGATCGACAATGACTTTTTTAACACACAAATCATGGCACGTACTCTAGTACACACGTAGGGACCCAAAACAAAGATTTCGGCGCTGTTTCGCAGCTAGACGAACTTAACCAGAGTTAAGTTTCGTCTGTGACGCAGGCTGGTGAATTGAAGCTTGTGAATCCTCCTCTTACCCATCCTTCGTCCACTGTAGTTCCACCCTCCAGTAGGGATTCCACAGATAACTGCAAATCACTTGCTTCTGAACAGCTGGGTGAGTTCAGTGAGCTGCCTGATGCTGAGAGAAGATGCGCCATATCTCCTACGGACCAGCGGTTTGGCCGCGCTGAAGGCGTAACTGAGATTTCTGGTAAGGATGAGAGATGCATGCTGTGTCGATGTTCTCCTGGGCGGCCAGGCGTAGAAGTCTTCCTGTGCGGTGTAAAGCTCTGCGATCGTCCTGTGTCGACTTTCAAAGACAAATTCTGTTTCTCAGGTTTACTTTCTTCATTAAGAAATTCTAAGCTTTTGGCTGATTTTGCCTGCTTCTGTGGAGGTACACTGCGAGCTTCAGAAGGCGTGACTGGCAACGATGATGTCGATAACGAAAGACTGCTTTCGCTGGTAGTCGCAATACCTGTAAAAATAAACACGTTTTAGTTCTTTTCTACTACAATTTAGAAAATTCCTGACGCCCAAACCCTCGCCTCAAAATATATCTCATTGGCCTATTGAACATTTCGAGGGGAACATGGCGGAACAAATATTGGTTTTGTAACAAATTAGGGTGATCTAGTAGCCATGTGAGCTGTTTAATATTTAACATTTGTAATCTTCCTTAAAATTGATTGTTATTATAATTTTCCATCCAATAATATTTTGTATCCGTCGCCGTAATTTTTATGCCTAATTAACATAAGCTTTATAGTTTCCTTTAAGCCTCCTCGCCATTTCTTCCTACATTTTTTTGCATCTTTTGTAATTATAATCGTATTATGTGCGGCAAATAAAATACAAGTACAAAATTTGTGATCGCGACGAAAAGCGCGTGTTTTAAGATCAATCCTTTCAGAACAAGAATGGTAGTGAGTAGAATGATTTTGATAACGATGATGATGATGATGATGACAATAATAATGAATACAATGAGAAGTTAACTACACAAGTTAACGCATGTTTTACAAGTACCTTCATCCTTGATGCCATCACCTCTTGCCCGTGTTCGTTCCACTGTTATCTGACACACTGAGTGAGATCTATTCGAAAACAAAACAAAACATAACGTGAGGGCTACAACAGCTGCTTGCAGAGTTATCTTTCTAGAGAACCAAATGAAGGTCATCTTGACGGGACCGAACGCCACCACTTCACTTTGTAACCTATATTCGGTCTCTTAATCACATTCCCGTCTTTCTGAATTTCCTCGGTACCGTATACATTTTACATAAGGGTGGTATATATATGAAATTCGTGTTGTTAAAGTTCATTTACATATAGAAAGAAAAATTATTCTCCATGGCGTCACATTAGGGAATTCCACGTCGTAATCAGATGCGGAGTTATTGTTTTGATATGTTAAACTCCCTCCTCAAGAATAAGCAAGCGTTTTCGTGCAAGTAGGTCGGTCGCAAAGGTACAAGACGTGAGACTCTTGTCTCCAGCACTTCTCCCAGAGCCCCTCGACGAAGTGGCCGCCCGTAAAGGTACGGGTATCAAAATATCACGTAAATAACCTCATGATAATGATGTTATGAAAACTTAAAAGACTTTAAAATTATACCTGCTGGAAGCTCGGTTCATCCGAGTTTCGGCGACAATTAGGCGCTTCTTTCCGAGTCTTAGCAAAGAAAGAACTTCAGCAGTATCGCGAACAATAAACGTTGCAAGGTTCTCTACATAAACACCTGTAAAATAAAAAAGGGGGGGACATCATGACAATGGTAGGGTCATTTGGTGGAAATAAAAAATTCGAAATTTAATGTTTAAGAGCTAGCACAAAAAGGTCATTTGATGGAAAATGAGATTTGAGTCGGGACAAGATAATATATATTTTACGTTTCAATTAGCTGCAAATTCATTTAGCTGGAGAAAACAGTCGACGCTGCCACTGGTTTCCCCGAGAAATGAAGTCTGAGGAACGAAGGCAAAAATCTATACTGATGACGGGTCACTAACCAGATCTAGGATAAGCACTTCTGATTGGTTAAAGCAAATTTCCTTCATGGTAAGATCAATCAATCAGAAGATTTACCCCTTTTTTGCCTTTTTCCCCACTGCGGAGCCTGGTCCCAGGCTACCCAGATCTCGGCAGTGACACGTCATTAGTATGAAATATCTCGGCTCGTTCCTCTCAGACGTCTTTTCTTTGGAAGCCAGTGGGGGTGTCTCGAAATATCGGCAGTTGAGTGATAAATATCATATTCTACGCTAATCTGGTACATTTTGTTGGTACCTTTCTTGGGATCCTCTCTCAGCACTAAATCGACCTTGGAGTTGGTGTTAAGAAGGTCGTATATCTTTTCTTGGTAGATTTGAAGATAAGACATGTAAACCTGCAGGAGAAAATTGGTCAGAGGAAAATAGACTCCAAAATTCAAATCAACTGAAGCAAGAAATATCAAGACATTTTGCAATATGAGCCCTTCCAAGTCCGAAGGGGTGGGGGTATGCTGCTGCTTTGTCTGTAATTTCTGAGACTGCTTGGAAAGAGTTTATCGTTGTTCACTTTTCTCCCTCGTTGGACCGATCCTGAACAATATTTATGTTATGAGTATAATCAGAAACCGTCACAAAGAAAATAACAGAAAATGTTCGGAAATAACGGATTAAGAGGGTTTGCCATTTCGCTGCCGAAACAGCCAAAATGCAAAAGTGAACGGATGTCGCTTTCACTGCTTAAAACATGGTTAATTTCTGAGAGGATTATTGCACGTTTTCGGGGCCATGTCGCCTGTCACTTCTATCCCTTGGTAGGCCTCCAATATGTACATGTATCATAATTACCGCATTGTGCCCTTTTTTTAAACTTTCATGCTCACGGTTTACTCATTTACCTTGTAGTCATGATATTTATCCAAATGTATTCTCCTAAAGAGTTTTTCAACAACAAGGACAGAGATTCCATCCCTCGACATGACAGTGTGGGTCTTTCCTACAAGATTTCCAGAAAAGAACCATTCTCTTAATACAGCATAATCACGCACGTTTTATGGTATATTGATCTCCCTGAGCCTGCAGCGGCAGACTTAGGGCTTGAGGGAATAATAAGATCTCAAATTCCCTCTCAAATTAAAAAAAAAAAAAGCCTTATTGTAAAACTTTTCTTTTGAAATATTTTCACTCAAGAGACGCCAGCTTCATCTTGATGTACCAACGTGACTGGCCTGCTCTTTACAACCACAACTTTTCAGGACCTGTGTAAAGGTCTGGTTTTACCACCAACTGCATTTTCGTTCACTATTTTCGCAAAACATTGTTGCATTGCAAGTTGAAAAGCATTGTTGCCCTGTTACCATCTGCGCGCTCAACTTGGCAAGCAACAAAATTTCAGTGTTGCAAGTTGTGGGTCATCGAGAAAATCCAGCGTTGTGATTGGTAAACAGTGTGTTTTGTGTCAGCCACCAAAATGGTGGGCCGCGCTGGTCTGTCGAAGAAACTGAGCGATAGGCTCCTGTACTGACAACAGGATGCACAGTAGTGCAGGCACACTTCACTGCTCTCTCGTTACTTCAGGGTCACTATAGACAGGCTGTTCGATCTTCACCTGTTCCTGTCTGTCCATATGCCATGAGGGTTCCATTGAAACCTGAGAATACTCCATCAACTAGTTGCCTTCCGGCTGTGTTATAGACCTAAGAAAAGGTTAAAAAACATGGACCATTTATTGCGTGCTATTTTAAATCCCGCACCCTTTAAAGAGTCTTTTAAAATTTGGTCACAAATATAAGTGTGTGAAAAAAAGGGCAATAACTGAGGTCTACTCATTACAAAAGACAAAATAGTGTTAATTTCAGTTAGGACATTGATAAATACTCATAGAGTTGAGACAGGAGGAGTAAAAAAAAAAAATGTAGAGCCGCTCCAAACCAGCTGAATGTCTCTGAAAGCTAATGAACCTTTAATTACTACGTAGAAGCAATTTTAAACATTATCTTCCCCTAATACCCACTCCCATATCTTTGGAAAATCTTGTTTCGCTCAGCTAAACAGAGCTGTGACCCTCCTCTGGCTCCATGTAAGGCAATCTGGATTCCAGAATACAGGAAATGTAAGTATTCTCACTGTCTTATTTGTTTTCCATTATATTTTTTTATTAACAAACCTCTCTATTGCTAGCTTGAGGAGTAAATATCTTGTCAAACTTGTATCTTCTTTCCTTGGCATCATGAAGGGAAACCTGTTTGTATCACATTGCACTAATATTAAATAAATATCAATTTATTCAAACGTACCCATCAATATATCTTAATTTGTTTTCTCTCAAAAATTTTGCATGAGTATTGTTTTCAGTTTCTCTTGCGGGACGATTGGTCTTAGGTCTTCGTTTTTGGGTCTTCGTTTTTGAAACACCAAAAACCCTAAGGCTACTAAATCATCTGTCGTTTTAACTTGTTCTTATTATTAAATAACAACGTTAAGACTTTTTTCATATTTTAAGTAATCGTATGAGTCAATTCGTTTCTACATATTACATGTTTGCCCAACGCATTGATAAATTACGCAGCTATCTGTGCCGGAGTAACTGTTGGACTGTTGTGAATGCGCTCACGTGTTTCATAGTTCTTTCTAGAAAAGTATATTTGGATTTATAACCCCTTACGTTACCAATCCCCCCAAACGTCTGCAAAAACCTCAAAACAAATGTGACTAAATAAATACTATTGCAGCTTTTTAGTGCGCAAAAGAATGCTATAAAAAAGAGGTACGGACAAGTGCTGTGTTATAAACAGTTTCTTGCCCTCTCCTTCACCAAAAGCTGATGTGGTGTGAAAACACATATTTGCACATCGTTTACATTTTTGAAGTCCGTTGTACGATATCATTACCATATTCACTCCCTATGAGTATCTAAGGAAGACAAAAAATCCTGCAAAAAATTTCTTCAACAAAACAAATATATTTCAGTGCTTAGTATAACGCGTTTGAACGGGAAATTTTGTTTTTATAATAATAATAATAATAATATATTTATATTGAAAGGGATTTGTTTGCGCCGGTCAAGTTTATATTTAGTCTGCCGTCTGAGTAGCGGAAGGTCAGGGTCATATTCATAATGAACTCAGTTGAATTGTTTTTCTCCTTCATCGCGCCTTAAATCAGGAAAACGTATAATCATTTATGAATAATTTGACAAGCGAGACGACCGAAGACACCATACTGGAACAGGCCCCAGTGGTACAGATTGTCAAGTCGAGAAATATAAGGCGCGGGAATAATTATAACACCATTGAAACGCCATTATTATTATTGTATAGTAAGGAAATAAAACAACAATTTCTGATTAAAAGACACTACTCTTTAAGCATCAATTTGAGATTACTAACCTAGCTTATGAAATGCTCATAACTATAATAAGTTTGTTCTTACAAAAAAGGAACCTGTAACGTACAATTAACTCTTTCACTGCCAGAGTGCGCGATGGACTTTGTAAGATGACTTTTAACTTTTGAGTCTGCGGACAAGATCCTATGATGTGACCATTCAAATGAAAGCTCTGCCTGTACTTTCACATGGTGCTATTTGTTTTTCAAAATTTCACAAAATGAAATTTGGAATTTTGGTCGAAATTTGCCGTTGGCTAAATTTGGCAGTGGAAGGGTCAAAGTAAAATACAATGTCTTTTTGTCGTTTACAAAAGGCAGAATTTGGGAAGTATGAGAGTGTGTATGTTTTATTTTATTCCCTTTTTTTATTCATTTATTACGGATTCATACATTATTATAAATTTTTTATTCAATCATTCTCTTAGAAAATTCAAACAGTGAGACAGTGGGTGGCCTGTGGTGGACACTGTTTGACGCATGTAGTGAGTGGATTGCTATTGTGACTGAAAAACAATATTTAAAAACATAGAACAATAACTCCTGCGCCTGTACCATGCTTCACTAGGCTCTTATATAATATTGACAATAATAAAATTGAAGAGTCGTGACAATATCTTGTGTGGGGCTTTCACTTGAAAATAAAGCCACTACAAACAAACGAGAGTGATCAAAGATAAACAGGATAAATTCTTCGCGTGACAGAATATCGAAGATCATTAAATCATCCCACATCGTCCTTTAACAGCACCTTTACATATTTCATTTTCTAGTTGGAATGTAAATGAGGCTTACATTATCGTCGACTAGTTTTCTATAAGATAATTTTGTTGAAACAACCAAAAACTTCGAGATCTATTATCAAGAAATTAGCACGTGGACGCGGAAATTAACTCGTGAAATAACACAAACTTAAAAGGCTTCCGCAATATTTATTGCTCGGGAATGAGAAATTTGTTCCTGATAGACGTAAAGCAGACTTACCTCGCATCTGTCGGAGTCGATATCAACACCAAGACTTTCCTCCCTTTTCGATTCTTCAAGGGTTTTGGGTCGTACACGCACATAAACATGAATTCTGCCAGACTCTATATTGGACGGTACATTAACAACAGCGTTAAATTTTCATAGCTACGCGCGTCACGCGTCGGTTTCCGATTTCCTCTTGCATTCTAGACAACTTTAGCCGATTACATTTTCCCTCAACAGGTTATATGAATATTTGCGCTGTCGTGCTGTGGAATTTACTATTTTCAAAGATAAAACAATTGGCTAATACTTTTTCAATCCTTAGATGAACGAGATAACATGAAAAACAAATGAACATGTAATAAAGTGAATGATATTGTGAAGTATATTTTTTAGACAACTGACTGTTCGTTAACCCACCGCCTTCCTGAGCTTGAGTAGTCTTCTTGTCCCTCATCTGGCCACAGAAATTCATCAAATGCTAAAGAACGCAACAGTTGATTTCGGCATCTATAAATATCGATATTTCCATGCTCTCCGGCTTCAAGTACCCTTCCGACAAATTTCAGTCTCTACGTTATGTGCGCGACTTGCAAATTAGCCCTACCCTGACTAATTGAGCTATATTTTGTCACCTATCTAATATTAAGCCACACACGTGACAACTTTCCACTTGCATGCATTTTGAAATTATTGTAATGTTTCCTGTTTAAACCGGTTTTCCTGCTGTAAACGGGGTATGCAATCATCGGTAGAAATAATAAACGAAAGACATGAATAATGGACTGTCCGGGAGAAGGGTTCAAGTGTTTCTACAACGCATAAATGAAAATCTTAGAAAAGCTACCTGACAACCAAACCAAATCATGTTTTGTACACTTTCCTGAAAAAACAAAATATCGAGCTAAAAGCCCAGGAGGCCATCTTGTAATCTTCCTCTGTTTGTGGCAATTGATTCCTGATTTTCTGAAAACCGAATTCAGAAATCATCAGATTTTAGTGGAAATAAGAAATCACTACGTTATTGTCTTAACAATCATAATACTAAATTCGCATGAGCGTTACTTATAAAGGAATTAAGCCAGATATAAAACAATATAATAAGTACATAAAACACTTAACAAGTGCAAAACCTACCATTACAATTAATAAATGAATGAATGAATAAATGAATAAATATATTTTTTTAATTTTTTATCCCTACAGAAATCAGAAAACTGAAATCAGAAACCAAAACTCAGAAAGTACTGAGACTGACTTTTTAATAGGTGTGGTTTTCTACCCAAGTTAAGTTGCTGTGGACTCTGTCCATATTTAACAGTCAATCTCCGTAAATTTTTATATAGAAAATCACGAAGAGAGAAAAAAAAATCCCTTTAAAGACTTTCGTGGTTTTAATGTCTTGTAAAAGGAAATAATCAAATCATATTTCAACAAATCAGTGAAAATATTCGCCCTCTCTTATTGGTCTCACGTTTCTTGTATTACTTTAGCTTTCGTGTTAAATTGTTATTTTACCATTTCTTTTGAAGAAAAATTGGCTGGCTGGGCAAGTCGCTGTTTGAAAAAAACACGTGCGCGCGCATTGAATGATGTCTTCTTTTTGAACTCCTGCGCGCGCTAAGCATTCGTTGCACGAGTGCGTAATCGTTTCACCGCGTTGTCATGGATATAACCAACGGTTATTGACAAAGACAACATACGTGAATCGCTTGATTGTTCTTTGTTGCGAAACAAACGCTTTTGATTGTTGATTGTTTAAAACATCTTGGACAATGCCTAACTTGACGACATCAAAGAAAGATCACAATGGTTCAATTACTGACAAATCTGCATCGTGTGTTAATGGATTAGCCTCGCAGCCGAGAGATGAAGAGAAACGACCGACGCTTGAAAAAACTCAGACTCCGAAGAAGAGTTCAACAGTGCAAAATGTATCGCCCAAGTTCTCTACTCCAGAAAACAAAAGTAAAGGCCTGGAATTTGCTCCTCCTGTATCACCGATCCAAAGGACTGCGAACTGCTCCACGCCACCATCTGGGAATTCACCTTCTTCTGGCGGGTTTAAAGGCTTTGCGATCGATCCTATGAGTCAAACTTTTCTTCGCATGCCTCATATGTATCACAGTCTCCAAGCGCAGCTTCGACAAAGCAACTCGCCTAAAGTCAAACGACCAATGAATGCATTTATGATCTGGGCGCGGCTGTACCGCTCAACAATCGCCAAACGTTATCCGAACGCGAACAACGCAGAGATAAGCGTTAAGCTGGGCGAGATTTGGAACGAGTTATCCACGGAACAACAGCGGCCTTACTTTGATGAAGCTACCCGTTTGAAAGAAAAGCACAGAACAGAACATCCAAACTGGGTTTATCAACCAAGGCCATCAAAACGACGGCTAACGTTCATGACGGCGAATGATCCAAACGGGATGCAATACAACAAGTCTTCTTACAATTATCATCCAGTTCACGGTCCTCAATCGGAAAGTGGAACTCTTTCGTTGCCTTCTCAGACAGTGCACGAAAGAGCAAACCCTTCTTTTTGCTATCCTCCACGGAGTCTCAAAGAAGCACTGCACCTGCCGCATTCGCATCGAGTGTCTTCTGACATTAACAGATTTATGGAGAGTTCAAGAGGTAGTGGACTCTCCTCTGCCATTGAACACAGCCTCTTCCCAGGAGAAGAAAGAAATGTCGCGCGTGGTAAAGAAAATACCCTTAATACCACGAGAGAGCAGCAACAGGCCGTGGATTGGCTGAAGGTGGAGGCGGCAAAATTCGAGGAAGAGCACCTAGCTGCGCGACGCGCGCGGGAGAACTGCATCGTTAACGACGCCATGCTACCTACTGTCAATCAAGTCAACGACGAACAGGAACAAGTGGCCAAGATTAAACAAGAAATGGATAGTGATGGTAATGACTTGGATAGGTACCTTGCAGGTTTGGATGAAACGATAAAAGAAAGTCTGGAAAAACTGAACGATGTACCTGATGAGCTTGATCTGCTGGATGACGAAAGTATTGACATGTTGAGTGATATAGAGGATGAAGATTAATTAATTAGAACGATTTCCAATGACAGCCGCAAATGGTGCTTGATTATTTAAATTCGAAAATAAAAAGCAATATATTTGTTATAAATATTTTGAGTACTTGTCCAGCAGGATTATTATTGGCGTTATTATTGACCAATACCCTGGGTGCCAGAGATTTTTAATTTCATGCGCGGTTTCTGGATTCCGCAGAACCAGGAGAAAAAAACCCTCCGTTACCTACTCAGAGTAACTGAAAAACACTGAAAAAACAAAAGACATTTCCTTGCTATGCAGTAACGAAAAAAAATCATGCTAACATGAATCTGCAAGTTTTTAAAATAATATGAACTAAGTGAAGGAAAAAATTGGCCGTTGGACTGTACTGAAAAATAAATTTGACCCGGGGGAACTTTCGGGCAAACCAGAGTTACTTACCCATTTACACAAGCCACCTGTGAGGAAATCTTGTGCATAAACATAAAACTATAAAATTTTACCTGCTGGGAGAACGGCCCTCTTCAAAGTATATCCAAATCAGCCGAACAGACTGAAAAGAGTAGAAAAATTGCATCAAATCAAATTACAGCCCAAATTCCCCGCCGAAGCTTCCTTAGTCGGAATAGCGCGAACCATTTGATTTTCTAACCGGAATTTCCGGTTTTTCCATGTAAATTGTAAGCACCCCAGGTATCAAGTTATACATGAGTATCTTAAACAGTTTTTTTTTTTTTCAAAGTTTTAAAGAACGAAATACTATGGTGGGCTTATTATAATTTCTGATTTGAACAAGATATTTTTTAAGTAGGGTAACTCCCCTGACCCCAGCATTTCCTTTTCTTAGCTGAAATTAATTCGTCCCCAGACTCCTTTCCTTTTGTACTTTTCTCCCCAGAATTCCTCTGCTTTGAAAATCAAAGATGGCGGCTGCTAAGCTGCCTTCAGTTCTAAGATTAGTGGAGATTTACGGTGTACAGGCTCCAATTGCCTGTTATCCCGGATATACGGCTACGCTATCGAATAGAGTGATTATGCCAATTTGGAAAGCCTGGTCAGTTAAAACGCATGGCAGGTAGCCTGCGTAGCAGGCGCTTGAAAATTACGGGCGTAAACAAGAACAGAGCGAGTAAGGGGCCACGATAGCTTTTAATAAAAAAAAAAAAAAAGGGGGGGTTTCTTGGGATTTGGCCATCTCAGTTTTAAAAGGAATGACACACAAACTGCGGTTACAAACTTCAGAAATAACAAACGCATTGTGTAACGTTTTCAACAACAGCAACAAACTTCGTAATGAAGTGAGTTGAAAAGCTACGATCATCGTGTTTGATAGTCACGATACTTCAGACATGTTTAGTTAAGGTAAAAAAAAAACCACTGCAAAAACCGTGTACGAACAATCTTGCTCAACCTCGGATCCAAAAAGATCGTGATCAGTCAAAATATATAAAATTGAAAACGTTACAGTCAAGAAGACTTTTGCACGGACTGATCAAACAACGTGAAATAGAGTAAATTAAGTTGCGATATTTCAGACATGTTTAACTTGGGTGGAGCCTTAGGCAATATGTGCTTCTTCGAATCGAACAGCCATGTTACGGAAAAATGTCGTTAGCGGCCCTCTCGACAATAGTTTAAAAATTCCAGCAAAATACTAACTAATGTAAAATTTCAATCTAAAGCGTTTTAGACATTCCCTAAAATTCGGTGAACTTTGTATCTACTTCATTCTCACTTCTATTATTGTTATTATTATTTTACTTCTTTTGATTCGCGACAATCAATTATGTCCTTTTCAATTACAGTAGTGAGAGTGAATAACAAAATAACATACGTAAAACTCATTATTTTAACAGTCTAAAACACTGTGTCAGCGCGCACACTGCATTAATTTCTAACGGACATCTCGTTATGGCGTTAATAATTAAGTAGTTGTGGACCAAATTGGCAAGGTAATTTTAAAGCACCTGTCGTTAGTAGTTAATTCTTGAGCTAGAGCGGATGGCGCAAACGTTTAGCCACCACCTTGAGTAGAAAGATGCACTCTTTTTTCTTTACTCTCTTTTCGGTTATTTCTTTTTGCAAGGTAAGTTTTTTTTTACTTTTCTTGTGTGCTGCATATACAAGTTTAAGACACTCAATTGGGCGATCTTAAGTGACAGAAATGGGTATCTAGCAAACTCGTTTAAACTGGCAAAACGGATCCAAGGGCTTCATGAGTCAACTCGTAAATTAGTTGAACGTTTTTGCGACCTGATCGAAAAGTGGCAGTTTACAAGATATTTGTGTTGGGGGCCCCGGTCTCGAGTCAATTTAGGGTAGCTTTGTCTGGCATAGGTACTTCGAAAAAATTCATGCTAGTAGAACTTTAAGGAGTGGGGCATGTTTATCTCGGATAAGCGTAGCAGAGGATAAACTTCTCATTAATAAGTTTTGACTTAGCTACAAAAAATAGTCAGAGAGTTTGCCACCTAAAACAATACTCGTACACTTCTATGTGACTGTCCCAATTTTAAGGGTTATGATATATGCCATGATGTCTAAGATTTAATTAAGATTCAATGAAAGGCAGATTTTTACTTTTTCATGAATATTTTATGGTTTTAGATATAAAGACCTCTCCGTTTCTTCCTCCCCTTAGCTTGTGTTGGATAGTAGAATCAAAATACTCCCGGCATATGTAGATGAAGTAGTTGGTTAGTTCCGATATCTTGAACCCCCCAAAACTTTCAGGCGATTTAATACTAAAGTAGATGCTTAAGAAAGTTCTCCTCCATCTGCCATTAGAGAGACAATCAAATAACGACAAGGCATAGTATTAACAAGTGCAGACTTCACGATACAGTCGAAGCTGGGTTCATGCTCGGCTCAACAACGATTTCGCATTATTTTTTCAAATCGGCTGGAGTGAAGGTGAGGAAAACCGTAAAACCCGGCGAAGCCCAATATGCAGGGGAAATAATATTTTTTAAGTCCTTCTTTTTGGATGCTTCAATGTTTTCATTAAAGATTCATGAAAAGTTAAGCAGTTGACAGTTGTATAATTCAGATTTATTTTAGGTTTTCCCTCATAATAGTTAATAGTTGGAGAACGGGCGGAATTTCAGGTACTTAACACTAAGTTAAACGTTATAATCTTAAAAGCCTATCGATAGCTCAGACGAGAGAGTTCACGGGGGCTATATAAAGTTTAACTGTCTGGAAGTAGAGGGCTGAAAGTGAGAAGAAAATGCCATGCTATCAAGGTAGCCTTTGATGAAAACTCATAAATGAGCGAAATAAGCGCTTTGTTGGACATTGATTTATATGAGTGAAACCAGCACCAAATGACTACTGAAAACAAGATAAACATTGACATAATGCACGAGTTTGTGCTGCGAAACCGAAAAACTATTGTCATCAACTAGGGCAAAAATTTACAACCCTTTGGAGAGTATTGTACTAAAGTTAAGCGTCAATCGCAGCAGGACAGAATATGGAGAATGTGGAGTCGCCCACCGTGACAGAGCACCATCGTGATTACAACCTAAAAAAAATTATTAATTAATGTTCACAAAGAGTAAGTCAAGTAAAAAATGTGTGAGGCGCGAACGCAGCCTAAACTCAATTTTCTGCGAAAAGCCTGGGTACGAAATTCAGACGGGAACAAAACCTTAGGTCAAGTGCCAGGACTGGACATGCGTCATAGACTTAAAAATTCTCATTCCCAGAGCCCATAGTTTCTTTGGATAACGAGTGCTTCAGAAAAAAAAGTTTATTGAAACCACAACAAAAATCACTGGAGACCATCACTGTTAATTTGCAGAAGAAGTAAGTGAAGTAATCGACCGGCAATCAAACACTGCGGATAGGCCATTTCCGAGTTAGCTTAAAGCCTCTGTTTCAATAGGACGCTAAGTGCAAAGTCATTGACATGAATATGATTTTTATTGTCATGTTAATAAAACTCAATTTCATAGCTCCAAGAGAGGTTTTGCGCTTAGCCTAGTTTTGAAAGTGAGAGTGACAGTTTCAAGTTTCCAGCTTCAAGTTCAAGTTCAAGTTCAAGTTATTAAAAACTCTTTGGATCCATACCATAATTGATCCTTGCCCGCAAAGTAGCCTAATAGCTAATCGAGGCGGGAAGGAAAGGTAAAAAAAGTTTCAATAATAGGGTTGAAAAATAACAATAAAGTTAAACAGATACACGAACATCAACATATTAAATTAACAAGGCAGAGAATACATATTAAATATTTCTTGGCAAATCAGACATTGGAAAGCAACTGTGGGAAATCTCAGTATCATTATTTACATTCATTACATGTTTTAGTCCGCTAAAAGAACAATTTCATCGCACAGAAATAAATAGAAGTGGCATCCACTGCATGCAATTAGCTCATTAATTTTCAAGAAGTTCTAAAAACCTTCAGTTCCTCAAGCCCATCGTCTCTCAAAATATAGGTTGGTCTGGAAAGCATTCTTTAACTTGCCAAAGTTAGCTCAAAGGAACGGTAAAGTTACCGTGAAGTCACTACACAATTGAACAAGTCCTAACGAGCAAGCAGTTCCAATCAGTTTGCATTTCGGTTCATTTTATGCAGTTATGTGTCAACGAACATTTCTGTTCTTTCTTCAGGCCTCCGATTTCAGGTTTGCCCTTGAAAGATCTACAAATTGGCAGTTTCCTGGGCGCAAAGTTCAGTTCAGTCTCACAATAGACATCCCTGTGTCCACCCCCCTAAGAGTCAAAATTAAACTTCCGTTCTTTGGCAGCCCAATAATGCGACTCACAGAAGCTAAGTACTCTTCAGTCAACAAGCACCTCACCTCTAGCGTCAACACAACCGCAATGACGTCCTCAGCAAAGGACGGCCTGAACGACATAGCGTTCTTTGAACTCGGGAAAATAACGCGGAGCCCATCTGTGAACAATACTGAAATCAAGATCGATTTTGAGGTGCAGCTATTGAATCATGCCAATATTACTAATGGCGGTGCGCAGTGGGTGCGCGTCGGCGCAGAGTACATAAATCAATCCGTATGGGCAGCACAGGTGGGGATCAAGACCATCAACACAGCAGTCAGCAGACCAGATTTGAAGGTTTCACTCTCTCCTGACAATGACGGTTATTACATACTTTTGGGGTATGATACACCATCAGGCTTATTGTCTAGTAAATCTGTTTCCAAGGAATTTTGAAAATCCTTGAAACAAACCAACTGTGAGATCTGTATTTTTGAGTGACGATTACTGGCTAGACGTATACTCTTTAATTGCTAAGATGTCATCCAAGCTAAAGTCGATGATCATTTCGGCATACTCTGGTTTCTCGTGTTCAGTCAATGCATCTCTGAAAAGGGTACATTTCTTTGCCATGGCGATAACTGCATTCTTCATTTCAACAACGTACCTAGAAGTAACGATTATTTTATTTGTCAAGTTAGTCTCCAGTATTCAAGCATTTCTTGCCATCGACTACTTGATATGTGTCATTGTTTTCTTTTTCTTCATTGATCAGATATTCATGGGTTGTGTGGATAGTATAAATCATAAATGGCGCTTGGTCTTACCTAGTACTAGCAATTGCTGTTGCCTAAAATGGAGGGCCAAAAATCCTTGGCACGATTTTTGAAAATTACCTTCCTTCAACAGCGCTATAATACCAAATATGCAATGCAATTAGAGCATACTATCCACTTTTGAAATAGTTTGAATGCCTCGAATGGCCCTCCCCTCTCCTCCCCCTTCAAACAATTTTGGAATAAACAAACACTTTTCAGGACAGGTTAAAGTGGACAGAGTGCACAAAAAGCAACTTAATTTGCTGAAGGGAGAGGGGAGAAGGGATTCAGTTTAAGTCCCTGTTGTAGGGCCCGGCCTTGGCTGAAAAGTAAAAGGAGACTGATTATATTTGATTTACAAAATCACAGCTTTGGTTTCTACATTTAGTTATCATTCATTTTTGCATTGTTTTGTTTTTTTGTTTTTGTTTTTTCTGAAAAAAGGAAGCAAACCAAATTCCGCCTGACACTGACTCATTCGTGTGTGACAACTGAGGAGGTGGGAAGTGGAATTATTGAATGGCCTCTACCCCCGGTCCTCACACTGACCAGTTGGAAAACAGTGGGAAAATCGATTAACCTCATTGATGTGTTCAACAGTACTACCATGGTGATTTTCAAGGTAATAGACAGATAAAGATGTTGACTAGCACAAATTAATGATTCCAGGGTTTCACTCATTTCATTTTGTGGTTTTCAGTTTGGACCTATGAAGTTTTGGGAGACGATCGACCTGAGGGTAACCTTTGGTATTGATTTGCACAAGACAAGAGCCGATGGCAAAGTATATGATTTAACCACTCATGTAAACGTCAAGTACAATGGATCAGGAGGAGCATGCAGCTCGTTCTCGGCCTTTCGCGAGTTTACCACTGAAGGGCCAGCCACAGTTTCTGTCAAGTATTATGTCCCACGTAAGTTTGAACCGAGCCAATACGTCAGGTATTCACTTTTACGGGGTATTTGGACTATAAGCTAAATTAAAAATAGCGCTTGTATTAAAGAAAGTACTAAAAAAATTACTCGTATGTAGGGGTAAAAAACACGGATCTCAAAAAAGGGAATTTAAGTGAAGGACTACACTGAAGCTAATTTCTCCTAATCTCTCTCAGAAGAAGAAGATTAGCAATTAATTCCGCAATTCCAAGACCTTAATTTTATTATTTGCATAATATTGACTTAATATATTTTGGCATAATTTCCTTAATGTGAAGAAATAAAGTGCTTGGCAATTTCTCTCAGTCCATGCGCAATGCCATTCTTTTTTCTTTTTTTTTTTTTGTAGTAGGGTCGTGTGATCAGGCCCTCGGTATGACGGATGGGAGCATCGCTGATTCCCAGATCACTGCTTCCTCTTATGATATGGGCGGGGAACCACATGAGGGAAGACTGAATGGCAACAAAGCTTGGATACCTTATAGTCAGCTAGCGTAAGTCACGTGTTAACCTCGAAGAGCGTCTTTTGATTATTGCAGATGAAGTTTAGCAGCGATATTGCTTGGGCAAACGATTGGAAACTAGGGTAGGCTGAAAACGGAGCTGAGCCCCTCAACGTGAATCCCAGTAAAACAGCACAAGTGAGAATTTTGAATTTCGATTTAATAATTAAAAGTGACTAGTAATACCACATTGTCCTGGACTTCATTTTCTTCGTCGGCAGTTGTCATAGCGCAATTCCTTCAAACTAGAAATTCGCATCACCCACCGCGTCACTTTGATTTTAAACAAATTTGGCATAACATCTCCAACGTCTGCCCGCGAACATCGTGGTTTGCAATGTGACTTGTCCGACGACTGACACAAAAATCGGGAAGATTTCCGTAAAACCCCATACATTAATTATGCATACACCTATTACTCAAAGAAAACAAAAGTCAGAACAACAATACTAAGCCGCTGGGATTTCGACTATTATTTTTAAGATTTCTATTTTTTCTTTTCAAGACCTTTTTGCTTGAGGAAACCTCACACTTGAAAAATAGGCGTGTTATACCTGTCCCTCTTGGGTACATGATATATTTCACCAGGCACCAGGTGGATTTAATGTGTTTACCTGTAGAACTATACTGGAACTTCTACACAGATGAATAGAGAGCTGAATCGAAATTTGGCACGCGCAAAGAACTCTTCGTCCTTAATTAATATTTTAAAGTACAGTCGAACCTCTCGGAACGGATACCTCTATATTACGGACAGTTTCTAATGTCCCGACAAAATTCTCATATATTTTCTTTAAAGAAAACCTCTATAATACGGACTCTCTCTAATACGGACTACGGACACCAAATCTCGGCCCAAGAAGAGTAAATTCATATAAACTTAACCTCTTTATTACGAACACTGCGGTGATCAGGTGAATCCCGAATCCCAATCAAGTGAATCTGCACAGGGTGAATCCCGTCTGGCTGATGAGCTATGCAAGGTGACTTCAAAAGCCCGTCGCTGTATGTCAAACGACGATTTGCAAAAGAGGGCAGAGGAACATAACCGACTTCTTGAAGGCTTGAATAACTACAGATAGCATAAAGATCTTTTCTATTATACGTTTTACTCTAGTTACTGTTTACTGCACTTATTGCGAAAAACGCTTTCACAATTTGAGCTTTTTTTACATGCAGCATTTCGCTGTAGCTCGTTTCGTTTTGAAATAGTTATTTTTCTACGACTGTACGTACGTAGCAGATATGTACTATTTTGTATGCTATTGAAAGACAGTGTCTGTACCGTGAATTAATGAACTTAAATGCAGTTTAAAGACGAGTTTAAGCGTGGTTTTAAGTGGAGTCATAAAAGTGACGTCGTCGTAGTGACCTCTTTTATACGGACACCTCTCTAATACGGACACTTTACTCTGTCCCTTCGGTGTCCGTTTTAGAGAGGTTCGACTGTATGAAAATGGTGTAAATGAGTCACGTGATATGATTCGTGACCGTTTTTTACAAAATTTTAAATATTTGACTAATTAGTGACGAGTTAGAGAGGATAAAGGGGACAGAGAAGGCATCCCCCATACCCACCATATTCCATAGGTAATTCGTCTCGAGCTATTTTTAAGACCTTAGATCCCAAGGGGGATTAAACAACAGCCAATCACATAGCGCGAATGTGTTCCGCGTGGATGACCCACGTTCAGAGCCACGTGTCCTTCACGAATTGACGCAGAAAAAAATGGCGGAAGACGCGGAGAGCGATATTGCTATTTGTTTTGTCGACGAAAACGACTAAAGAGAGATTTCTGCTAAAGCTGTGTCAGCGAAACCGAAATTAAAAAAAGAATCGCCCTTCCTCTCTTGTAAAGAGCTAACAGTACAGCAGGGAAATCCTTAACACACTGAATATTCTCTCAGGATCATTTATAATTTACAGTTTGAAGAGAGCAATTTCTGGTTTGATATTTATTCTTTTATTAGTCTTTTATTATTCAACAAAAATAACACTTGGCGTCCTACTTGCTTTATTGTACAAACGACCGGTTTCAATAGACCGGCAAAATTTCTCATTTTATTAAAGCACTGAGGTTACGACAACTTTGAGTTAAATTGATTTCACGGGTTGTCAAAGAGTCCAGCGATTTCCTTTTCCAGGTGAGCGCCGACTCATTTCGCTTCAATATTCATAAATGCTCCCGATCTCTTTACGCTTTCGTTACCTTTCGCCCGACATGTTTTGCATGCTCTTGCATGTTCTACGGAAATTATTCGACATTAGATTCTCATACAAACACTGTAATTTCTCACGCGTTTGCCTACTCGTCAAGATGGCGTCGAAAACCGTGACAAGGTCTATTTAATAAAATTCAAAGTCATATAAAAAATTGATTACTCATAAGCGATTCTCACGATTACTTTGTACCTTAGGCGGATGACAAACCAGCACCTCGAGGTTAACTTCACTTGCAAAGTCATGATTAACAGACTTGTCACCAAGTGTCTTGGTAAAAACTGCGTCAAGAGCTTTTTCCTGTTTTACAGTAAAGATGGACATATTTTTAAATCCTACAAGTTGGGCAGCAAAAACATGGTAACCGGACGTCCCTAGATGATCTTTTGAGTAATATGTTCTGATGATCATTCGATTTAAAATCTTAGTTCCGCTGGTATATATGTCTGATGTTGCACGTACATCTTTACACCCTAAGTATCGGCAATCTACATATCGCCTGAGTGTATAGAATTAACATTCTTAAAGCAATTCTTCGTGCCTGCGTCCTTTGAACACTCACAGGCTTTATTTATTTAGGCTTTAATTATTGCTGCTGCTTGTTGACTTTAGGTTTTTCCCGCCAACACCAATGGTAACGATCCAGCGGTCATTATCCTACCGGTGCCTATAGAAGCAGTGGCTGTCCGCCTTAGTCCTAATGCCTGGGAAAACAGCATTGCCCTTAAACTGGAGTTTTACGGATGCGTACTGGATTGCCCTTTTACTCCAGGTAACGGGAATTAGTTGTTTTGTCGATTGGAGATTCATACAAAATGATGTTTGAAATAATCTGGCGTGTATATAGGCGAATCTTTGTTTACATTTTTAGCCTCATATTATGCTCATCATTATCTGATGAAGCTTATAAATTAAAACCTCTGAATAGTGAAAGAGCATAACAATTTCAGTTGTCTCTGAAAATTGAAGTGCGATATTCCGTATGATTTCGGAAAAATTTTATCTTAAAAACTCGAAATTTATTCATAATGTATGGCTCATTAACTTTTTCGCCACCCAGCAATTTCGCAGTTTTCGATGGTTGATAATTCCTTCAACATTGCTTGCAAAGAGCTGAAAATTGTACAAAACTGCTCAAGTTAACCAGCTTTTTCAACTTTTGGATTTAGTTCATTTATGCGGCCACGACTTAATCTATGGGTTAAGTCGTATGAAGATGCGGAAAATGTTAACAATGACGTCAGCAAAAATTCGTCCATTAACTTGCGCGTATGCTATGGCTGATGTTGCCTTTTCGTTTTACTACTTACAGTAATTGTTTATCATTATAATTATAATTGTTATTAACATTATTACTTGATTTTTTAATACTATTATAAAAAAATTGTCAAAAAATTTGTAAAATGCATCCTAACACTTTGGAAGGACTCCGAAATGCATGCCTGGGCATTGATGTCCTTCTCCCAAAAAAAATCTTTGGGAGGAAGGCTCAATTAGTGTGTTTAACTATACAGACAATTTGCAAAAAACTACTAATAATAAAAAATTCGTCATCCTCACTTTCTTAATACCAGCTTTTTTAACAGTTTCAGTAATATACAGCGCTTACAATAAAAGGTGAATAACAAACAAATAATTTCACAAATCGAACTTTCGAAACACAAAATGCCAAGGTTCTGCAGTCTGCTTATGGAAGTGTTCGATTAGGAAAGATACCAGCTTTTGTGCTTTGACTGTTTAAAGATCTTGAAAACATATAGTTTGGAATTGAGGATTGTCTGATCTCACAGGGAAATTTGACTGTAGTTAATTTAGATAAAAAAAATATAATTCAGCTAAAGAAGTGGCGATTTTTTTCGTGCAGGACCGTTGACGTATACCAGTCGTGGATATCTTTTGGACAAAATAAACGACATCATGTGCGTTTGTAGTCTTTCTTTGGCAAGGTAAGTTTATTCTTCCGATCAAACAGGACGAATGCATAAGACAACAACGAAAAAATGCACCGAACTTGTGCGATTTATATTCTAAGGTCTTCTTAGGGCAAGTTAAAAGATTACAAAGAATAAATTTTCAACTGAAGATAAGGGCCTGGAGTACGGTGGAAATCCGCAGGCCAATAACACTACAGCAAGAAAACAAAACGACAAAAAACAAGGTGTCCTTGCTATCAGGCTATGCTAATTTGTGCATTGTCTATTTTAAAGCCGTGGAGGAAACGTTATTTTCCTTTGTTTTTTTCGTATGGCAATGTTTGTTCATAGGTTAAAAGATAAAGTTTAAAATCAAACCCCTGAGATAAACGATTAAATTCCACCAGCGCTTCAAGAAGAGTCAGGGTAAAGAATGAAAGAGCGGTATGCAGAGAATGGTTCGCGTTGAGTTTTACGTTTCAGCGTGGTGAACTGCCTGAATATAGAAAAGTAACGTAATTAAAAAGATCCTTGATGACTCGTTTTGAAACAATTATCTTGTTTTTACAGCTTCAAAAGGGGATCA